CCGTAAACCACCTGGCCATCACCAAAGTTCGGTCATGGGCCTCAGGATTCTGAGGAGATTCTGCGTTTAATAATAGCATCATCAACGGCTATAGCATCCTTTATTGGATATGGGTTCACAATGTTTCGTACGCGAGTCGGTAGCGATCCTGTCGCACCATAATCCCCTGCCAACGCGGAAGAGGCAACACGAAAACGGCTGCTGCGGAGTCCCCTTATATCTGCGAGTGTCACCACGCATCGGCTTCCAATTTCGCGCGTTGCTTCTGCTGCTCGTCGTATTTCTATCTTGCAGTTCCCAGGCTGCCCCCGTATCCGCAACGGAAACACATGGTGATCGACCGGCCCTGCTCGTGGAAGACGACCTTGCTTGGACAGGATCGGCATTGTACCTGGACCTCAGCCCGCCGCCATCCGCCTCGCTGTTGATGCCTCCTCTAAAACGCGACGACGATGTCACGCAAACACCCTCTGCTCCACTATCGGAACGAGCCATCAATACCGACTCTAATACCGCCGATAGCTCCAAATTCGAAGTTCCCAAGGCATTCGATACAGGATTCTCAAATAATTTTACCAACTCATGCGCAAACTTCCTCAATCGCCTGCGTTCAAGTACGGAATTCAACAACTGCCACCCATTTTCCTTACTGATACAGGTATGTTCAACGAGAGACTCAAAGAAAGTCTCGACTGACAGGCTGCAGACATCAAGCGGCTTTTTCGATGCCTCGAAATCTACGCTCCGTATTACACAAACCCTCGATGCGACCTGCGAAGTAGACGCAGCGCAATGCAAACCGATCCTGGACAATTTTGCGATAGAACTACTGTCAGAGACGGCATGCAAATCTGACTATGAAAGCGACAATCCCTTGGTACTGCAGGCTTACAACGGCCTCGTCGCATACCAGCCATCGTATCAGGCAAGTTGTTTGCACGATGACCAGGGAAACTATTGTTTCGCAAATGCCGTCAGCAACACGTCGTCACCAGGAGACTCATACCCATATTACCTACCCATTGGACAAGAACTTCCCGGTGGATCACGGCCAACTTGCAACTCGTGCCTACAACAAGCAATGAGCGTCTTTTCTTATTACGGCAACAACGCTACGCAACCTCTTTCGAAAACCTACACCTCAGCCGCTCAGCAGATCTCGATAGCATGCGGCTCGACCTTCGTTAATGTCACAGCCGCCCCTCTCAAAGCTGCTGCACCGACTACGAGCGTCACAATTACACCTACGATAACCTTGATCCTAATGTTTGTACTTTATTTCTTCCAGTGATGGAGCGATACCCTTTACCTACTATTCTTGTAAATACTTTACCTTAGTCCCTGTCGATGCTTAGGATCGACTGTTCATTAGCGACGGCGCACGGGAGGATTCACTTTTTGTCATGATTGACAGTTGCAGAGCTGGAGGGGATACCCATGGATCTTCTGACCCACAGAATTGGCCGTCATCGCGATAGGCCTTTGTCGAAATACAAGGCGATGTGTAGATGTACAAAGTTTGTCTCGAGTGAGGCGTCTTATTCAGATCAATAACAGGCTATGATCGAAAGATCAAAAGTCAGCTACACGAAAAGCAATCTTGAACATTGTTTCACGAACACCAGTATTCAGGGCTTGCTTAGTGATTGGCCATCCGTCCGTTTGTACAATATGAAGGGCCATGGCACAGCCCACGGACCCGGGAAACTTCGACGCCAATGCTACACAATCTATCCGTCACGATCGCGCACTTAGGTCCGCTCCCGCCAATGATTTGCAGACACCCTGTCTACATCATCGTCATTTCGTTTCTGACCGAAGCATTTGTTTCCGAAAACGAGATTGCACCACAGTACCTAGGTATGCGATGCACATGGAAGCTCCATGTAAAGGCGGACGACGATGATATGTGGATCTGCGAACGTCACACGTCAGCGCATGTGCAACTGTGGGTCTGACCAGCTCCTCGGCATATCTTCTCGATCTCCTCCGAAAGAGCTATTCCGGTAGCCTGAAACGCGGAAGCTGATCACGTGCGGGTCACACTTGTGGGGTGCCGTGATTTGGCAGAAAGCGGTCGCCTGGCACGTCACGCATCAACGTTGTGCTTCAGCTTCCCGTGGTCGGGCCGTTTGTGCGACGTCAAGAACGTGGGCTCGCTTTGTATTCTGAACTTTATCGTGATCGTCTCAAGACCGGCTGATGGAGAAATTGCCGGGTCGTTCAATATGGCCGTGGACCAATTCCGCAGAACAATCGAAAGAATCCCGCTCCCCGGTGGAGCTCGGGACCATCCTGTCATCTCCAACGCCTTAACCCTTGCATGGATAATCCGCGCAGTCGTTGGTCGTCAGCTGTGACAGGCCAGCCTCTTCCTGGCCCATATGTCAAACACTTCATGCGTTTGAAAGGCCCGACCACTCTTCTGTCAGCCGTGTCCCATGCTCATTCTTGTACCTGAGACGTCCAGCTTCGCCGCGAGGGTTTGCTATGCGCGTCCCTTCCACTCTCATTCCTTCCTTCATGACTTGTGCTCGTTAAGAGAGTCTATAATCGGGCTGGGACCTGTCTTTTCGTCTTGCTTCACGGCATAGTCACTCTCTTCATTGCCACCACGCTCTTTACACACACTCACTACCAAAGCAACTTTTCGAGCACTATCCACTCCTTTGGTGCCATCCTTTGATCGCAGTCCACGCTCACATTGAAAAACGACATTTCATATTTGAACTTCACGATGACCGACGTCATGGCTCAACGGGGCCTGTTATCTGCTCCTGCCTCCAGACAAGACATTGTCAGCGCGCTACTCAACGATTATGGCAACTCCTTTGGCCGAGGCGACGCATCTCCATCAGCGTATTCACCTGTGCCTGCGGATAAGGAACTTCCTCCACCCCCGCCGCGATCAGATAGCATTGCGCGCAAACCGCTACCAGCTGCGCTGAGGATGCAAGCAAAATTTCAACTGAGAGGTAAGCAAGAACTTCTTGGATTTGAATGTAAAAGATGGCCCCTGTTTGTGTACATTGAATGAGTGGTTACGAGTATCCGGCGTGCCACTTACCACGACTTGACTTAATTTCATCGGTTTTTGAGCGAAATTTGCTAACAGACCACAGATGATCAAGACGCTCCTGTCTTTCCAGCAAGTCCAGTTCCAGGATCTCCACCAAGAAGAAGAATTCAATCACGTAGCCTGTCTCGTGAATCTAAACCAGCATCTCTGAAGCTCACCATCAGCAACGGATCAACAGCAACAGTCCCCCCTACCCCAGTATTTCCGGCACGATCTGAGTCTCTCCCTTCCTCAGGGGCAGAGGAGAAGGATCTTCCACCTCCACCACCAGCCAAGTCGGAAAGGCGGAAGTCAATCAAGCAGTTTGATACAAGAAACGGCTCTTCACTGCCAGCAACAGATCTTTCGAGGAACGACTCACTTCTTTCCCAAGACGGGAACAGAGACCCGACAGAAGTGTCTAACGAAACTATCTCCCCGATCATCAAGCGCAAAGCAGTTCCAGACCAAGGACTCAAGAAGTTCAAGAGCTTGGCTGAATTGACTAACGGACCACGAGGAAGGAAGGGCGCTCCGATGCCTCCTACATCTGCACCCAGAGACCTTAGCGTAGACAGTCAACGATCAGATGCTATGCCCCGGAAGGCCAGTGTCGATAGTCAAGCAAGCATGGTAGAGGAGCAGCCGCGTAACATGGAAACGCAACTTCCGCCAACGCCAGATGAGGAACAAGAAGATGCCAAAGTCCCCGCGCCTCCCAAGAAAGTTTTCACAGGCCTCCCGTCGAACCCTCGTGTCAAAGCCCCGGCCTCGCCTCTCCACGCCCGCGGTAAAAGCAGCACAGGTTTCAACGTTTTGAAGGTATATATTCGCCTCCCTTTTCCTTCTCCAGTACTTGTACGATAGTCGTACTGTGTGACAATGTCGCAAAATCAAGGGTACTTGGATCCATTTCCAATCATAGCACGTTGATCGCTGACCGAGACTGTGTAGGCAATGAGGCCGGCTCCTCCAATTCCCACGAAAGATGTACATACGATTACGCCCGAGATGACACCTTCTCCGACGCTGAAGCCAGTCTTAGCCAAGAAGGATGGTGAGATCTCTCCGGTCTCACCATTACCACCTCCAAGTGAGAGGAGACCATTCAGTTACGAGCCTGCTGCTGCTGTTACCGCTGTTGAGCCCCAGCAAAAGCCAGTGGAACAAGAACAACCATCAGCACCCCAAACCACCACAATTCCAGCCGAGACCCAAATACCCGTCCGAACAATATCTCTCGACCTTCCCGAGCCATCCCCAGGCGTCCGACCCACGAGCGCTCCATCCCGCCCAACATCCTCCGACCTACAAGATCTAAACCTCTCTCCCTTCCCTGGTCCTTCCGTCCCAACATCTCCCGTCGACAACGCCCCCACCGAAACCACGACACCAGCATCACCCCCTCCCTTCACACCTTTGACCCGCCACCCGATCCCCTTACCCGTCTCTTACATCCCACGTATAACGCCCTCGCAACTCTCCTGCTACACTGGACATCGCCACAACATCTGGTCCAACAACATCTTTCAGCCCATGGGCTGCATGGTATGCCATGAAAACGACAAAGACAGGAAGTGGGCGTGTACTTGGTGTCAGTTGCGTATCTGCCGCGGCTGCAGTGATGAATTGAGGGCAGTTCCTGGAAGGGATTTGGGGATTCTGCTGGAGGCGAGGGCGAAGGGGCAAGCCGTAGTGGCTGAGGGGATGAAGAAGTTGGAGCAAGAGGAGGGATTTAGGATGGTTGTCGAGGATGCTGACGGCGAGGAGGAGGGTGAGAGAAGAGACAGGGAAAGGGGTGCTTAAAGGTCCTGATTTGACTGGAGTTTCATTTGTTCTTTCATTCCCAGCATAGGCGCGTTGGGTGGATGATTTGCTTCTCCATATGATATCACATTTACGCGAAGCTGGAGTTGGATTGAGAGTTTACCTAGAATGCTGTGCATTGTTTAGCTAGCACAACCACTGCCTCGACGGCAATTTCATCACCATGTTCAATAACATCTGCATATTGCCAGACGCACTTTGCACTTGTGACTTGATAGTTCGCCTACTACCTGCTTCCCTTCATCTCCTGTAATATCCTCACTACTTGCGGTAATACCTTCTCGGCGTTCTCACTTAAGCGGGCTGCTTCCCGGCCGGTATTCGTGTCTTCAACGTCTCCAAAGAAGGTTTCTTCGCCTCGGACACCGCCCATGTTCAATATTCCAATCGGCATTTGCATCTCCTTTGCCTTCTTGACTAGCCTCCACGCAGAGTATGTCGCAAGACTACTGCCAATGACTAGTATCCTACCGGCGGCATCGACAGCCTCCTCGGCGGCGACTTTGGTGGCGGCGGGTATAGACTCGCCGAACATAATGACAGCTGGCTTGAGCACCCCACCTTCGCTCGCGGGATCCCATGCGCCATCTTTGTCAACTTTTACGCGGACTGTGCCTCCATCTGCACGCTTTGGTGGCTTCTCCAAGCAAGTTGGACATGGTGGGTATCTGAACGTGGTATATGGAGCATCCGGAACATCGACGTCACCATCTGGATTCGACTTGAGCCCTTTCTTCCGACGCTCGTCAGGGTTCTCAGTATCTAGAGCGCCAGACTCGATCATTTCGGCGAGGAAGGCAGCCCATGAGGGGTTCAAAGTAGAGAGTTGGTCTTGAAATGAACGGCGCGAGTATTCGTTGCGACAGGTCAGGCAGACGAGGTTACGCAGGTAGCCGTGTAGCTCGATGGTAGGAAGCTGCGGGTGCGCCTTTGGATGGAAGGAATCTACATCTAACGGGTCCATTAGTATTGCATCTCGAGTATTGCATCTCGACACCAAGTTCCCCTCACGTATAATAGGTGAGGTTTGCCAGGTCAAACTTACTCTGGGTAATTACACTCCCAACCACACCCATTCGTCCCAACTCTCCACAAGCCTCATGCGCCTTGTTCGGTTTCGCTTTCTCTAGATTCGTCCAGCCTAGGAAACTTCTCGCCCAGTATCTCTTCCTCGCCTCATGGCTGTCGCAGAATTCGTGAAAATACACCGGTCGATACGTCTTATTCAGCGTATACGTGCCATTTGTGCCTCTGTAGTCGGCCAAGCCAGAAGCTACCGAGATGCCAGCACCAGTAAGCAGCAGCGTGTTGCCAACATTCTCTCCACGGTCGAGCCGGCTGGAGAGTCTCGACTGAAGAGCCCTCGAAGGTGTAGTAGACTTGGATAACGAAGGCGACAGAAAGTCGACCAAAGCACTAATAGCACCGCTGGCCGTCGTCGCGCTCGCGGGAATGATCCTAGGCGCCGGAAGGGGATCGGTGTAGGGAACGCGAAGGAGAGGGGCTCGGGGCATCGCTCAATCGCACACGTTCAAACATTGTGGTTTCGCGCATTGTGAGAAATTGGGGGCCAAGTGTCTGGCGCGCACACCCGAATTGGTGGTTATGTCATGATACGCTTTTAGCGCGGGACCATCGTTCCCCGAGATCGACGGCAGACTCGCGTGTCATCGCGTGTCAGAGCCTTAGGTGAGCCGCATGCTTCGTCGCGTGGTGAAGCGGACGGGTAGCTATCTTGCCGCTGCAGGAAGATGTCTATTTGGGGGCTGCAACATGATGCACGATTGTATCGGTTTTCTTTGATGCTTATGCTTGGGGATTGCGGGGTCAGGTAGAATATAGGTGAGGCTGTGTGCGTATTGGGGGCTATGCTGTTGTTGCAACACAGAACGTGACCGGACTACCTACGGCTTAGGAAGTCGACGCGTATGGATTCTTGTGCTTGTCAGATAGACATCGCTGCAGATTACTTAGAAAGTCGCGTTGGAAGGTATAGTCTCCATACATGTACATCGAAGGATCTGAGCAGCTCCCTATAGTTAATGACAGCTTCACCACTATTAAGCATGCATAATAGACAGTAGAACGAAATAATTAACATTGACAAGAAATGTATGGCTGCACAATCTACGAGGGAGTTTTGTCCCAATGCTCACGTGCTGCCATGAAAAGCATGTACTGAAAAGTTGAAGAAAAAAAACGCCAATTAAGCCTCCGTCGTGTCGCCGGTACAGGTGGAAGCGAGTGTCCTGGTTTTCCGTCCTGATTACAGTCCTCCATGCGAATGTCGAATGCTCAAGGGGTATAAGAAAACTACCAATGTGAGTAGTTGGCGTCTGTCGTTGAGGTAATGTTTGGCGAAGAGAGCTACCAGAGGGGGTAAACTCTAATATCGGAGTGTTTCCGATGGGGTATTGGTACAGAAAGAAACCGCTTGCCGTCTTAGGCGCAAGATGAAAGTTCGTAAGGATCGTGACAAGGAGATGTAAGACGGATAAGAGATGTTGAAGAAAGGCCAAGTTTGCTGGCAATGGCACTGAGCGTTCATTGCTGGTGCGGAAGATGATGCGAATGCGGAGAGTATTGCATCTGCTGCGGCATGGTCTGCTGCATCGGCGGCTGCATGTTTTGCTGCATCGATGGTTGCATTGATTGTTGCATTGGCTGCTGCATCGATTGTTGCATGGGATGCTGTTGGTGCTGTTGCATCGGTTGCAGCATGGACTGGATGCTCGGTACTCGTTGTTGACGCTGCATAGGGTAGCTTGGGTATGCGGAGTAATGAGTATCGGGGATTGTGGACAGGGTGTGCAAGTCCACATGATGATCCTCTTGTTCTTCTTCGAGGTCAGAAACGCCTACTCCACTATCTTCATGGTCGTGGTAGGTACCATTCTCGAGCTTCTTCTGCGCTGACCTATAGGCCTGAGTAAGATTCTTTAGCCCCTTCTCCATACACTAAGTGAAGTTAATATCAGCTGTTTCAGTATTACTTATGATCGCACATGACGTACCTTTGTCTCTACCAGTTGCCACTTCTCTCCAACCCGGGCAGCTAGCATACTCCACATGTCCCGTCGCACTTCCATATAGGCTTGTGCTAGCACGTCCAGCTTCACGCCGTCCCATTGCTCTGCATTCTGCCTCTCCATCAACCGTTCGTGCCGTTTGCGACAAGCATTGGGGGTCTTGGAAGGGAAGTGTTTCGGTCCAATTTGGTTCCAGTTGAGGCCCTGTGCCCTGGCCTGGATAAGTGTTTCGTCATCTTTAGCTGACCAGGAGGAGCTCCGAGTTCCGCCTGCGGCTGATGCGGTCGATACAGAAAGGCGGTGCGCCGGACCCTTTTCAATCTTAGGCATGTTGACCAATTGAAAGAAAAGACTATCGAGACAAGAAAGTTATGACTGGAACGGAGATATAGAAAGACGGGGGGAGGATGAAGATGAGAGTAATGGAAGCGACCGAGGAGGATATTATGATTAAGGTAGAGCTGGCGCAGGAGAACGACAGTGACGTATGAGGAACGAAAGGTAGGAGATATCCTCGAGAGTGAAAACGAAAGAGCTGCTGTTCGTACCTTTGGGTTTGTGTTGTCTGAGGCCTAAATCAAGGGGTATGGCGAACGTCTTTATACAATGAGCCGCACACTGAGCCTCCATCGACAACAAAGACCAGTAGGCCTCTCGGAGAATTGTTTTGAAACCTGGACATGTTTCTGTAATCGCCGGATCGATCTGTATCTACCGAGAATGGGATGTGCGACTAGGCGAAGAGGAGGCTGTTCACTGGGTCGTGGCTCCAAGCGCCATCATAAGGGACCAGGGCAGGCCAAATTTGGGCCTGTGAATGGTCGAAGTACAAAACGTGAGCGGTTCGTCCCTCGAACAAGGGAGAGTAGACTGTAGCGAAAGCGCCTGTTTGAGAATATCTGCTGTACTCCCTAATGCGGCTGTGTCTAAGAATAATACTGCTGCTGAGTGGTGGAGGGGCAGCGATGGAGGGGAAGGGCGGCTAATCTGGCGCTGATTCGACGAGCGCATATGGCCCAAATAAAGACCTTGGCAAGCGACACAAGGGCAAGGGGTGCCTCACCAGGCCGGATACCTGTAGGACGTAGTCATCAATACTCAGTAGGGCTGAGCTCGGGAACCTGCAGATGGATGCAGGTGCGGAAACGTGGAGGGGAAGGTCAGCAAGCCGTTCCAAAGAAGCCCGCGCTATGGGCTCTGGAGGTTCAAAGAAACCCTGGATGGCTTCATAATAGCAGACCCATACACAGAAAAAGAACATGCGGCCGGCCGATAGCCCGCGAGGCGCTCACGATAGGCGCGGTCACTGGATGGGCGAGTGTGGGTTGTGGGTCGTTTCAGCAAACAAGATCACAGATCACAGCGGGACCGCGGGAAGAACCGAAAGCACGTTCTGTCCAAGGCTCCCATGAGAAGCGCCCGCGAACTGCTGCCGGCCATTACTGTGCCTCTGGCGAACGTTGAAGATCGATGCCTGACAAGCTGTAGCAGTGTTTCGAAAGCGCTAGACTGCACCGCTTGCGGTCGGAACGGAACTGACGCGCCCCGGAGCAATAGCAGAGACAGGAATATGCAAGAGGTTTCCGCGCTTCATTACCCACACATTCTAAGTATGGGCATAGCCGAGCGGTAGATGACAAGAAGCTGTAGTCTGATCGTGCGACACCGAAGAATTTTCTCGATTCGACAAACCGTCACGTCGCACAAGAGAAGCGTTCGTCTGATGCTTGGGCGTAGATGGTCGTTCACACAGCCTCGTCCCTCAGCCCCAACCTCGGCATCCGAATTCACAAAAATCGATAACGGCATGCACCAAGCCTCCTTCATACCGACATCGTCACATTTTGCAATTCTCCATCCAACCGCGGACTGAGCGTTCCGTATCGTATGTTCGAGAAAAAGAATCCCCAGGCTCTGGATCGTAGCTAGATGAGACATCTCGAAAATAGTAACCGCTCAGTGCTGGCGGCGAGTGTGCTTGAATAACTAGGTAGCTCGCCAATTTGTGGAAAGAAACCCATGCCCTAATCTTTGACCTTCTACCACTCGCTCTTTGCAAAAGCGCGAATTCTCTCCAACGTACCGTCTAAGATGGACTGAATTCACATATCGTGACACGCACACGCGCTCGATATCCAAATCGCTACGCGTGTCGGATCTACTCCGGTCTTGCACGGAAGTAACTAACCTAGAATCACTCACGGAACCCGGCAACTCGCTACAAAGCCATGCTATTCGTGGACGGACGATTGAATGCACTCCGCGAGCTTGAGGGTTATGGAGCGTAATTTCGCTCTGCTGCTTCACGGGCGCTTGAGCGGCACCTGGTGGATTGGAGGATACTGCTTACGAAAGCAATGTGTCAAGCAAGTGTGTTTACTGCTCACTAGCCTTTCGAATACCGCTTCCAGTTGCCTTCTTCACATACTCAGCTGGCAAGGACCGTCCTGGCTCGACGATCAAGATTCGAGTTGAGCCAGCAGCCCGGTTGGTGTATGCTAAGATCACATCCAATACGCCATCTCAGGGGATATAGATATGCATAAAGCCGATGTGATTGAATATGAGATCACAGGTCCATTGACGCGATGGTGTTGACGGAGTTGCTGCTTGATGGGTGCTCCGGAAGCAGAAAGGGGAAACGCTAGTGCAGCCGAGGTCACTCTGCCCCTGTCCATCATCGCTCTTCTCCTTGCCATCTTCACATTCACCCCGCAAGTCCTTCATCGACCGCCCGAGCCAACGGGCATCTTGACATGTGCTAGGAGCATTGACGTGGCTTGAAAATAAATATATACAGTTACCGTTATGGGCTTCGACGCGACATGTGACTCTCTTGGCCGCAGATGGCGCATTGAAAGCTGCTATCGCAATTTACGCTTGACCATATCTGCTTTTGTACAACTGCACTCGCAACTCGAAGGAAACAGCCAACTTGGCAATACAACGACTTCTTACCCCAGTCCTGAGCCTAGTATTTCAAAGGAAGATCAACTAAGCATCACTCGAAAGTTGACTCGATACCAAACAAGCAGTTGATCTCGTGACGATGTTCGTCCTGGTACTTAAGTACCTTCCCAGCATGTACCGAACATTGCAGTTCAATACACTTTGAGCAACGAACATACGTTCGCTGTTCGCATGTGATCTGGTTCCTGGTGGTTGCGCAACAGCAAGCCCATGTCGCCCGCTTAACAAGCATCTTGATCATTAGCCGGTCTAAATCCTTGACCCCAGCATTGAGCCTTGATCCACGACAATGCTGCTCGGTCTTATACCTGTTTCCGTCGTCCGCGTCACCCACCGTGTGTCCATCACCATACAACACCATGGCTAGCGCGAGCTTAGCTCTGGTAAAAGTGCGATATTCACACCGGCTTGGTGTTGCGGGGTTGAATATTGCTTCTGCAAGGGCCTATATACAAAGGACCATGGTTCCCTTTCCAAGTTGGTCTCAGGCTACCGTCCTGCTTGACGCTCGTTTGCTTACCTAAAGTCACTCTTTCATCATGGTTTCCTTTCTTGCTCTAGGTTTTTCGACAATCGTCGCGGGTGCGGCTATCCAGCAACGCGATGCTGTTCCAGCTGGATATGTTGCGGCACCCTACTACCCGTGTATGTCATCAGCAGCGATATCAACCAATCCTTTTAATGCTAGATTCAGCAATACTGACTCTACCTAGCTCCGCATGGAGGATGGACATCCGACTGGACTGAGAGCTACCGAAAAGCTTCTTTGCTTGTCTCAAATATGACGCTTGCTGAGAAGACCAATCTCACAGCCGGCAGTGGAATCTTCATGGGAAGATGCGTGGGAAATACAGGCAGCGCATTGAGAGTCGGCATCCCTCAACTGTGCTTGCAAGATGGGCCTCTAGGTGTAAGGAACACGGACCATAATACTGCATTTCCTGCCGGAATTACCGTTGGAGCCACATGGGACAAGGATCTTCTTTACCGCCGTGGAGTTGCGATCGGTGAAGAGTTCCGTGGCAAGGGAGTCAACGTACACCTCGGACCTTCAGTCGGACCCCTAGGTCGCAAACCACGTGGCGGTAGAAACTGGGAAGGTTTTGGTTCAGATCCTGTTCTTCAGGCGTTTGGCGGAGCTCTTTCCATTGAAGGCATTCAGAGCACTGGTGTCATAGCCACAATCAAGCATCTGATTGCGAACGAACAGGAAGAGTACCGCATGTACAACCTGGTCAAACCTGGTATCTCTTCCAATCTGGACGATCGCACTCTTCATGAGCTCTATCTTTGGCCGTTCGCTGAGGGTAAGTCGGGCCTTGCCTTCTACAATGACTTGGAATACGTACCGTTGGCTGACTTTGAAAAGGCGTACGTTCCGGGGTTGGTTCGGTGATGATCGCTTACAACGCTGTTAATGGAAGCGCATGCTCACAGAACAGCTACTTGATCAACGGCATCCTGAAGGACGAGCTTGGCTTCCAAGGCTTTGTCATGTCTGACTGGTTGGCTCAAATCTCCGGCGTTCCTTCAGCTCTCGCGGGTTTGGACATGTCGATGCCTGGCGACATCCACACCATTCCTCTTTTCGGAAACTCTTACTGGATGTACGAGCAGACACGTTCAGTTCTCAACGGGTCTCTGCCGTTGGACCGCTTGAATGATGCAGTGACACGAATTCTTGCTGCCTACTTCAAGATGGGCCAGGACCAGGGGTACCCACGACCAAACTTCGATACTAACACTCAAAATGCCGAAGGCCCTCTCTACCCTGGCGCTCTCATCTCACCCCAAGGTGTTGTCAACGAGTTCGTGGATGTTCAGGCCAATCATGCAGAGGTCGCTCGTGAAGTAGCTCGCGATGCCATCACGCTCTTGAAGAACCAGGATGGATTGTTGCCTCTGTCTCTCAATGGCACCCTGAAGATATTTGGCACCGATGCTGAGAAGAACCCTGATGGAATCAACTCGTGTGCGGACCAAGGCTGCAACAAGGGCACGTTGGGAATGGGATGGGGCTCCGGCTCGGCGAGATACCCTTATATGAACAGCCCAATTGATGGCTTCAAGACTCGCGGGGCCAACTACCAGTTCTTCAACACGGATGCTTTTCCAGGAAACTCGAATCCATCACCGAACGACACTGCAGTTGTCTTCGTTACCGCTGATTCTGGTGAGAACTACATTACCGTAGAGAACAACCCCGGAGACCGGACCTCTTCGAACCTCAACTTGTGGCACAACGGTGACAAACTCATCAAGGACGTAGCTGCCAAATATTCCAACGTTGTGGTCGTAGTACATACCGTTGGCCCAATCCTCATGGATCAATGGCACGACCTGCCTTCCGTCAAAGCAGTCCTGTTCGCTCACTTGCCTGGTCAAGAAGCCGGAGACTCGCTAATGCAAGTCCTCTTCGGGGACATCTCTCCATCCGGTCATTTACCGTACACTCTACCAAACTCCGAGGATGACTACCCAGAATCTTTGAGTCTCGTCGGATATCAGATTGGGCAGCCACAGGATACCTTTACAGAGGGCCTGTACATTGACTATCGTCACTTCCACAAAGCCAACATTACACCCCGCTATGCTTTTGGTCACGGTCTCAGCTACACCACGTTCTCTTTTTCCAACGCGACCATTACGCCAGTGACTCCGCTTACAGCGACGCCTCCAGCTCGTCCCGCGAAAGGCGAAACACCCACCTATTCCACTGCCATTCCTCCAGCTTCAGAGGCATACTGGCCAGAAAACTTCAACCGCATCTGGCGATACCTCTACTCCTGGCTCGAGAAGAACGATGCCGACGCTGCAGCTAAGATCGGCAACTCGACGACCAAGTATCCATACCCAGCCGGTTACTCGAACGAGCAGAAAGTTGGTCCTGTAGCTGGTGGCGCACAAGGCGGAAACCCCGCATTATTCGACACGGCATTCGACATCACCGTCAGCGTAACCAACACAGGTAACCGGATGGGTAAAGCCGTCGCACAACTCTACATCCAGTTTCCGAGTGAAGTCACTATTGACACACCTGTTATCCAACTCCGGGATTTTGAAAAGACGAGGGAGTTGGAGGCTGGAGCTAGTCAGACGCTGAGCATGAGAGTGACACGTAAGGATCTCAGTGTTTGGGATGTTGTATCACAGAACTGGGTTGTTCCTGCTGTGGATGGAGACTATGGGGTTTGGATTGGTAGTGCGTCAGATGATTTGCATGTGAGATGTGGGACGGCGAGTGGAAGCTGTGAGGAGGATCAGGAGAGTCCCGTGTAGTTGGGGATATGTCTGGGAGAAGGCACCCGAATATGGAGATGGTAGTGTTTAATGTTTTAATGTCAACATCACCCAGAAGAGACCTTTTCCCACCGAGTATAACTATCAAAGCGTTATTGGATCTCACTCAGATGTGATACTTTTGGACGTAATCAGAAGACTAGGGAGGATTATGGTAGATTGCTTGTGATTGGCCAAGGTCAGGAAATTGCGCTGGAATTATGCCTAGACGCAATGTGATTGGCGTAGCTCCGACTATTCATCCGGTGCATTCGCGTCAAGTTGCCAATCGCATCGGAGCCTTTTTATTGTTTTTTTTTCTTTTTATGCATCACTGGAGATAGACGTTGAAGGCTGGCCGACGATGCGGTATATACAACAAGCGGTGAATGCCGTGAGAGGTTCGGCGTGCAACGAGGGCACTCAGGGGCGTAGGTAAAGGGATACGGAGGTAATTAGATGTCAGGTGTCCAGATGACAGATTATACAGTGCACACGCAACGCGCACTGTTGTGCTGTGCGCGAGTTTGGATCGAGGCTAGACGTCACTGGAACGCTATGATGCTTTCGGCGCAGTTGTCTTGGTTACTCGGGAGCACCATCGACTCCTTCCACCTGACGACTTCCCCAGGGGTTCACTCATTGTCACCACTCTTGCTCTTGGAACAAAGGCCAATTGAACGCTGCTTGACATCCAGACCCGTTGTTGTAAGTTGCACCCTCCTAGTGCAACGCCAGATATCCCTGTCGCGCAGTCGTCACTGCTTGTACATAAACAAATTGGCCGGGTTTCAGGCGCGGCCACGGCCATCTCCCACGTATCCTCATATATCTTAATCCTACCACGACCGACGCCCAACACCGCATTGCTGATACCCACCACTGACGATCGCCTCGTCCTACTGCAGCCATGTCCAACGGCGTGCGCAATCTACGCGCAATGTTTGAGAACGGAAACGCCGCTGCCTCGCCTGAGCCCCGCGGCCGCTCCCCTACAGACAATGCAGCTGCGACCGACGCTCAAGAGCGCCCCAAGTCAAAAGTGCGCGCTTCCTTTGTCTCCGTCGAGCCTACCGTCGCCCATCCCCCGACCGCCTCGACCGACCTGGGCCAGACCAAGGGCACGCCCTCGAATAGCGTCGCCGCGACCCGACGAGAGAGCTTCCGCGTGAGCCAGGACAAAACCGACGAGCTTGCTGAGCTCAAAAAAGCCGTCAGCGAGGAGAAAGAACAGCGCAGACAGAGCGTCGCCATCCCGGAAGCTGTTCCAGAACAGGCTGTCGCATCGCAAGAATCCTCATTACCAGCTCCGCCTATGCACGCCGACTCGACCGCCGACATGGTCAACCTGGGCGCCATCATGAAGGGCTCCGACTTTCCCGACTCTGCTTTTGCAGCCGCGAAGAAGGAGGCAGCCGTCGTCGTGCCAGCTCCTGAGATTGACCAAATCCCAGTCGATGAGACTCCAGCCGAGACTCCAGCCGAGACCAAAGAGAGTGTCGCTGAGGCCGCCCCAGTCCCCGAGCCCGAGCCAGCTCCCGCCCAGCCTGCAGAGAACCCAGACAAAGCTACTACAGGCGCGCAGGAGGATGTTGCGCTCAAGCCTGCAGTCCCCACCGAGGAAGCTATTGTAGAAGAGGAGAGCAAGCCTGCGCTTGAGGAAGCTGCCGTCGACGATGACGTTGTTGTTGCTGAGGAAAACGCCATTGCGGAGGAAGCCGCTGTCGTCGAAGAAGCTGCCATCGCAGAGGAGGTTGCTGGCGAAAAGGAAGCTGCCGCCGCGAACGAAGGGCTATCTGCCCCTGCTCCAGCCACTGCCCAACCTGCTGAGAACCCAGACAAGCCTGTGACCGGAGTTCAGGAAGAGCTTGCCCTACGGCCAGCAGCGCCCACTGAGGAGACTGCGGTCTCCGACGCGCCTACTACTCCTTCTGCGCCTACAGAGGTCGCAGCTTCGAGCGATGAACCTGCTGCGGAAGCTGCTGTACCGGCTGAGAGCAAAGCAAAGGACAATGGATCTCCTGCGACTAAGAAGTCGGAGCTGAAGAAGCCTGCCGCAATTTCTACCACCAAACCTACCAAGGCACCTGCCGCACCCGCCAAAAGCCCACTACCTAAAGCTGCACCGAAAACCCCTACCAAGGCCAAGACACCTGCCTCCATTCCGAAGCCTAGCCCCGTAAAGACTACGAAGCCGGCAGCTGCGCCAAAGCCAGCAGCTCCTAAGGAGCCAGTCAAAGCGCCCACCGCCAAACCTCCTGTAACAAAAGCTCCAGCGGCCAAAGTTCCTACAGCAAAGACGAGCCGCACTTCTCTGCGACCAGCAGCATCATCCTCTTCAGCTACAGCGCCTACGGCCACTGCCGCAGCTAAAGCTAAGCCTGCTGCTGCGCCTGGGGAGAACAAGAAGCCTGCAATCCCCAAGCCAACCACCTCCGCCCCACGTAAAAGGTACGTCCAATACGATTTGAAGCAATGCGCCGGTACTAACACTGCTACAGCACCTCACCAACTGGCTTCAAGAAGCCAACCCCGAAGTCGCCTACCCGTCCAGTCGGCCTGCCATCTCGCCTGACCGCGCCCACCGCTGCCTCAGCTGCCAAACATGGCGAGGAGCCCAAGGTCACACGCAAGCCGTCCACTACAACCCGTGCTGCACCACCAAAGACCGCGGCACCAAAAACCTCGCGAACGTCCCTCGCACCCAGCGCGCCCAAGCGACCTGAATCACGTACCTCAACTGCAAGCGCTGCGCCTAAAGGGGGATTCCTTGAGCGTATGATGCGACCAACAGCTGCCAGCTCCAGCAAGACACACGACAAGCCCCACGAGAAGGCTTCGTCTCCACCCCGTAAAGCTCCAGCAGCTTCCAAGCCTAGTACTCTACAGAAAGGAAAGAAGAAGGTAGAAGAGGTCGCGGCCAAGGCCAAGGAAGTCGTAACGAACGGACACTCTGAAGAGCACAAGACTGAGGATGAGCCTGTAAAGGAAGCTGAGCATTCTGAGCAGGCATCTGAAGACGCCACCATCAGTGAGACACCAGAAGAACCAGAGAAGGCCGCCACTCCAGTCCAAGATGTGGAATCGTCGGTCGCAGAGATTCAGACACCAAACTTCCAGGAGGAGACCATCCGGTAGACAAGACGTCGCGCATCTCACATCCTGCGGTACAACAATCCGAAAGTCCTACGTCTGCAATGCATGGCCCTGTCTCAGGTTGCCATTAACCGCAAACCACACGGATTCAAGACAAATTCTATCTACCCAGCTTTTACCCTTCTTTCACTTCTTTACAGCATTTTCTGGAGCGATTGTTTGGCGCAAATGATATTCATGGGCGGATACCTAAGGACAAGGAGCGGAGAGATGGGTTTGGATAAGGACTATTTGCGTGCATAGTTGTTCATTTAGCGATAGGCTTCGCAGAAGCTGGCAGAAATTACCTGTAGATCTCAATCCCATTCTTCACTCCAATTGGTACTCCAATCGCGCAAAAGAAATGCCCGCTACACATGTGTGATATGTCGGCACGTGACTGGCACCTCCGCCCGAAACTCCGATGGCCCAACTTTTTCCTGGCGGGCAATTCGACATTCCGAAGCGACAGCAGACCCCGCGTCGTCCTTTCGTTCTTTTTCTTCTTGAAGCGTCTTAGGGTGTTCAAGATGAGGGTTCAATCTCTTTTCCGAGCGCAATCGCTCGCCACGAGCAGTCTCCGCTGTTCTGCTCGGTCGGCTGCCAGAACGCCGTCACGATGCACTCTCTCGACGATTGCGGCAACGCGCACACCTTATACCAATGGAACCAAGACCGACACATGGATCGGCAGTCAAACAACACAGCCACAGCGAAGATGGCAGTCTGCGGCCGCCCAAGTGTATGTACCACAATCTGGCTTTGCGATGGCGAGAAAGCAATTGAAGGCTGATTGAGAAATTAGGTTGGAGCAGGCCAAGGAAGACCCGTCTACCTTGACGCAAGAGAAGATTGTCGAGAACCTAGACCCTGTCGAATGGGAGCGACTATCGAGAGTACGAAACATTGGCATCGCAGCACACATCGACTCTGGAAAGACGACCGCCACCGAACGCGTCCTCTTCTACACCGGCCGAATCAACGCTATACACGAAGTCCGAGGCAAAGATGCCGTGGGTGCGAAGATGGACTCTATGGATCTCGAGCGTGAGAAGGGTATCACTATCCAGTCCGCTGCGACTTTCTGTGATTGGATCAAGAAGAATGACGAAGGCAAGGAGGAGAAATACCACATCAATTTGATCGATACACCCGGCCATATCGACTTTACCATCGAGGTGGAGAGAGCGCTGCGCGTCCTGGATGGAGCTGTCATGATTCTTTGTGCTGTTAGTGGTGTGCAGAGTCAGACCATCACCGTCGACAGGCAGATGAGGCGATACAATATTCCTAGAATTTCTTTCGTGAACAAGATGGACCGTATGGGCGCCAACCCATGGAAGGCTGTCGACCAGATTAACCAGAAGCTTCGCATTCCAGCTGCGGCCCTCCAAGTACCCATTGGACGCGAGGACGGCTTTTTGGGCGTCGTAGATCTGGTCAGGATGAAGGCGATTTACAACGAAGGACCCAAGGGTGAAATTATTCGGGAGACGGACGAAATTCCTGCGGATATCGTTGAGCTCTGCAAGGAGAAGAGACAAAAGCTCATCGAGACACTTGCCGATGTCGATGACGAGATCGCGGAGCTCTTCTTGGACGAGCAGGAACCAACGATCCCCCAGATCAAGGCTGCAATTCGACGAGCTACCATTTCTCTCAAGTTCACCCCAGTCATGATGGGTTCAGCACTTGCAGACAAGTCTGTCCAACCGATGCTCGACGCCGTTTGCGACTACCTACCGAACCCTTCCGAAGTCGAGAACATGGCATTGGACAAGAAGCGAGCGGAAGCTCCGGTCAAACTGGTCTCTTACAACTCATTGCCATTTGTCGGTCTGGCTTTCAAGTTGGAAGAGAGCAGTTTTGGACAATTGACGTACATCCGTGTGTACCAGGGTACCTTGAGAAAGGGCATGAACGTATTCAACGCGAGGTCAGACAAGAAGGTTAGGATTCCAAAGATTGTGCGCATGCACTCCAACGATATGGAGGAGATTCCCGAGATTGGTGCCGGAGAAATCTGCGCCGTATTCGGTGTCGACTGCGCGTCTGGAGATACCTTCACAGATGGTGGCCTCGGATACACTATGGTGAGTACCCGGCATCATTGCTATGCTGTAGCCAAGCTAACATGTTAGACCTCCATGTTCGTCCCTGAACCCGTCATCTCGCTGTCAATCAAGCCCAAGCACACCAAGGACACACCGAACTTCAGCAAGGCTATGAGCCGATTCACGCGCGAAGATCCTACTTTCCGAGTCCACACCGACACTGAATCGCAAGAGACCATTATTTCTGGTATGGGAGAATTGCACCTCGATATCTACGTGGAGCGCATGCGCCGTGAATACCGCGTCGAGTGCGAGACTGGACAACCACAAGTCGCTTACCGCGAGACAATTACCAAGCGCGTCAACTTTGACCACACACTCAAGAAGCAGAGTGGTGGATCAGGAGACTTCGCCCGTGTAGTAGGCTGGATGGAGCCGAGCGAAGCCCTAGGCGAGAACAAGTTCGAGCAGCAAATTTCTGGTGGCACGATTTCCGAAAAGTTCCTCTTTGCCTGTGAAAAGGGTTTCATGGCCTCAACAGCCAAGGGACCACTTCTCGGCCACAAGGTCCTGGGTACTTCCATGGTCATCAACGACGGAGCTACCCACGCTGTCGATTCCTCGGAAATGGCTTTCAAGAATGCTACACAACAGGCTTTCCGCAAAGCCTTCCAAGCTGGTGCGCCACAGGTCCTTGAACCGCTTATGAAGACCACCATCACCGCGCCCAACGAGTTCCAGGGTTCCGTTGTTGGTCTGCTGAACAAGCGTAACGCTGTTATCAACGATACAGAGATTGGTCCTGAGGACTTTACCGTCTACGCGGATTGTAGTTTGAACAGCATGTTTGGCTTCAGTAGTCAGTTGCGCGCTAGTACGCAGGGTAAGGGAGAGTTCAGCATGGAGTTTAGCCATTACAGTCCTGCGCCGCCGCAGTTGCAGAAGGAGCTCGTGGCTAAGTATGAAAAAGAACAAAAGGACAAGAATGCTTGAGCTCATCCTTCTAAGCATGAGTCGCATCAGGGAAAAGAAACTGTGGGAAAGCTACAACAAGCTTTTCATTATCTAAAGGCTAGAAGCCTACATCTATCTACATTGACGGACGTCTGGCGCATTTCTTGTGGGATGAATGGGTAGAAAGGTGTAGAAGTATTGTACATGTAGTATATAACGCCGCCACACGACGACGAATGATATCCCCTCAACAGCTCCAGTTTCACCAACCCAATCCATGTCCTCCCTGTTCTTTCCTATCCCTGATTGCTCCAAAGAATTACTCCACGTCTAACCCCGGCCTCAACGTCTTCCTCGCAAAGGCTCTCCTAACCGCAAGACTAACCTGCGTCCACCCAACAACCTCGTTGTGCCCACCAAACCTTACAACCTCCAGCTCCACCATTCTATGCCCCTTATCATCCTCCACCTTCTTATACGCAAAAGCCCCCCTCTTCACTCTATCACCACCCTGAATCGTCCTTCTTTCTTCCTCTGCGACAACACCTTCCTCTCCCAGCATCTGAGAGGCCAGTGGCTCGAACAAGGCTTCGGATTCCCAGTACGTGATATCCTGGTCGTTGCGCGCGTGTAGGAGGGTGATGCGGAACCCGTTCTTCTTGCTGGAAGGTGCCGAGATCAAAGTCCGCAGACGGAGAAGTGTGGGCCATTGATCGATGATGCGAGATGTGAGAAAGTTTGCTATTCTGGGGTAGGATTGTAGTGGTTTTAGGACGGGGAAGATGCCACCAATTTTGTATGTCTTGAGGAGTTGGGGCAAGGAGGTGAAGGGTGCTACTAGCACTATGCCAGCGAACCCATCAAATTGCCGTTTAGAACTCGCCATGGCGGATGGGTACGATATGGCAGGAATAAGTTCAGATGTTGGTTGGGTGAAGTAGAGGGCTGCTGCTGATGTTACGGCGGTACCGAGACTTTGGCCTAGGAGGACGGTGCGGGTGCTTGGGTGAGCAAGGTTGTCATTGAGGTAGGATATCAAGGAAGTGGCGTCAGTTATGAGACCAGTTTCCGTGGGGATGTGAGGGTTATTGTTTAGGGTAGATAGACCAAAGCCGCGGTAGTCGCACGTAAGCAGGTGAGTTTTCGGGATGCCGGAGATGGAGCGGTAAGTTGATGGGCGATGTCCTTGGGCTATGTGACCGGCATTCTGGGTGAGTTAGCATGAGCCGATCAAAACTGTATGGTGTTGAAAGATGTCAATGACTGGCGGGGAGATTGAAGGAGCGTAGGTTCTGAAACGAGTGACCTGAAATCGAAAAGGAGAGAGAAATAAGACGCAAACGGACCGTGGGTTTTACAGAGATAGAAGAGAGACATGCTAAAAGAAAGAGTAAAGAACCGAACGAAAGTAAAACCTACACCATGAAAGTTAACCACGACTCTACTCTCCGGGTCACTACTCAACAGCTTCTCCCCAACCGTCCCCTTCAACTCATCTACAATTTCTCCCGAAACAGCCTTAGTGTAAAGCTCGTGTTCATTTTCAAGATAAACATCTAAAGGAAGCACATGCCAGCAAAACAGCTTCTCTTGATCCGCAGTAGTAAGCCAGAAAGGTTGAACCTGGCCCTCTACAGGATTTAGTTAGTATCGAACATAGCAGAGATTAATGTAAGATGCTTACTCGCAAATCCGAATTCCTCAGGGTTAGAAACGTTATGCAAGAAGGAAGTTTGGAACTTATGGGCGTAGAGAGCGCTAAGTCGGTGTCAGGTCCGGTGTTTACAATCCGTAGAGACGATACTGATGAACGTACTGTCTTTGTGCCGTAGGGTTCACTAACAGCCCTACGAAAGCCGCCCATATTATGCCTAGGATGGCAAATGTCCAGTATGCCTTGGTGAAGATGGCTTTGAAGTTGGGCATCTCTCCGGTTACGTATTGCGCGCTTGCGCTATCCTCAACCGTCAAGAATCAGCAACGAAGAGGTATTGCAGTAGTGTAGCCCTAAGGCGTTGATTCTACTTTGAGTGTGGAGGCGGAGTGTGATGAAGGCACAAACGTATGTCAACTGGTAGATAGCGATACTGCGGGTGGTCTAACCGGGATAAGCAGGCCGCAGCAGATATCTTGGCATCGGAGTTGAGCGAAGATAACTCCAGATCTCACATTCGAGTGAGGGGAATAAGACAGACATGAGATGACAACAACTCACAGAACTCCAAGCTCTTGAGACTCGCAATGCAGACCTTTACGCAGACCTATGACCAATTGTAACGACAGAGCAGAGCAGAGGTAGTTTAACGCTAAAGATTGGGTATCATTTGTACTTGTACATGGTGGAGGACTACTTCACAGCCCCCGAAATATCATTAGAGATCTAGCACCATCTCAGGCAAGACTCTTCCTAGGTCGCCCAGCCTTCTTCTTCTCTGCTAAACTGCTACTGGACGCCCCCATGCCTCCCATCACAACATCTTGGGTCGGCGTCGCAAGCGCAGGCGTCACTTCTCCGCTCCTGACTCTCTTCTCTGGCCCTTCATCGGCATCCCTTGGCAACCTGAAGGCCAGGTACGTTTCATCCGCTCTTTTACATCTACCAAACACCTCATTCATGTACTTTTCTACAACATGCGGTGGCCGTATTGAGCGCGGTAATGCACTTGCTATTTCGTCGCCATCATCGTGCTCGATGAGCAGCAAGACAGTGACGGGCTGGTAGAATTCAATGTTGTCTATTTCGTTCATCTCGTCGAAGTCTTCGATTCGTTGAGGAGGTTTAGGTGGCACGAAGGGCGTTGACGGAGTTGTTGTCGCAGGTTGTATGGGCGCAAAGGTAGGATTTGTAGGGTTGGGCGTTGGTGTCATGGCATTCGGTTGCGGCGTGTTGGGTGTCGCGTTAGGCACGTTGCCAGGCGTGGGGGTCGGCGTCGGGGTTGGCTTTGGAGCGGGTGTGGATGGAGGCTTGACAACAGGTTCTGGCTCTGGCTTCGGCTTCATCTTGGTTATCAAGAAAGAAAGCTTTGCACCTGTGCCATTGGGAAGCCACTCCATGAAGCTATACGACGGAAAATAAAACTTGTCCTCATTGCCATGCACAAAACTGAAAACTAGCGGGCGGTATGTTGTCCTCGGAGGTGGATTGTAGGTAGATAGCTGCGGCGGTTTGCTGTAGTTCTGGTATGGTGGATATGGTTGCTGTACAAGTGGAGGTTGCTGAACTTGCCCTTGTGGTGGAACTGGGCTATATGGCTTGGGAGCGCTGGGCTGGATAGGCTGTTGGGCAGGCTGAACCGGTCGCGGCGGGGGCGGAGGAGCTATCTGCTTAGGTGCTGGCGGCGGTGGTGGAGGGGCTTTTGGGGTTGGAGGTGGCTGTATTGGTTTCGGCGCCTTCTCCTCCTTCTGCCTGGCTAGAATGGCCGTCAACTCATTGATGTGTGTCTGGAAGAACTCGAGCTGCTCCTTGCTTGCGGATCCAGCTGCGACAATCTTCATGACAGCCTTCAGCTCAGGATCCGTGCCTGCTCTGGCGGCAAGCATGTGTATAACGGGATCGGGCGCGGGGGCGGCTGGTGCTTGAGGCGGAGGGGCTGCTTGCACGGGTTTGGGAGGTTGTGGCGGACGCGGCTGGGGCTTCTGCTGTATGGGCTGGCCAGCCTGGTATTTGGTGTGTTGATTGGGCTGGTTGTGGTTGTGATTCGGCCATGGCGCATATGGTGATGCTGTCGGAGCCTTCTTCTGCACTGGCTTGCCCACCTCACGCGGGCCATAGAGTCTGATGGGCAACGTATGCGGCTCGATGACAAGCTTCACGCTCACTCTGTCAGCACCGACCTGGGGGAAATTCTTAAGCAGCTCCTTCTGTCTCGCCGTCTTCGCCTTGTCTTCATCGGTGCGGTCGGCCAGCTTCTTGGGCTGATTGAAGTGGGCGTGGAAGGTGCGGAAGTTTGCGCCGGACAGCCATACTGCCTTGGACCGCTCGAAGGATGTCTCTAGCACGCCGCTCTGCTGGATTGTCTGCCATTCGCTCGACGGAAGATCCAGAGGCTGTGGTTCTGGAAGTGTAGGAAGAGGTGCACCGTCGACTATGCGGAGGGGCAGTGTTTGTTTGGGAGGCAACGGTGCGCCGTCCGTGATGGGCGTCGAGGGCGCTGAATCTTTGACGGCGAGGCTGGTCCGCTTGCGCTTCAATGACGATTTGGCGCCTCTTGCGGGCTTCTCGTTGGGCGTCTCGGGAGCAGCTGGGGCAGCTTCTTCGCGGGCGCGTGCCCTTGTCGACCGCCGTGGCTCAGACATGTCGTGGGCAGGGAGGAGTAGTCTCCGTCACGTCATCTTCAAGACGCAGTGGTGAGTTGCGCCCTACAGTAGAATTGTCGGACGCGACTTCCGACACGGCGGCACGCTAGCGCTGCACGGTTGGTTCGCGAATGCTTACCTCTGAGTCTCCACGACCGCCATCATCATCTCCAACTAAACGCTATTGTGCTATGTTTACGACAAGATCATCTATTCAAATCTCATTCATAGTAATATCACGAATGAACTTGATCAGAAGTAGACTCAATAGCCAAAAGGTAAAACACCATGTCGAGTTCGCGATATATGCCACCAGACACCGCCCCCAATGATCGACATTCCGGAACGGGATGCCTGAACAGTAAATTACAAACCTAGAATCCGTCCGCAATATGGCCGTGGAATCATACTATCAGCAATCCGGTTTGGCTCTTTTTCTTGTGGCTGGTCAAGCCCACTATAAGGCACCTGTCACCGCTGCCGCGGGATCATGCTGTTCTGTGCCACACTCCACACTTATTCCTGGCTCCGACTGCTGTTCGTGCCCTAATACATCATGCGTGTCGCGACCAACATTGCTGTCTTCTTTGGCGTGTCCTCGACTGTTTTAGCGACCTGCTATTTCCCTAATGGCAATGTGGTAGATTCCGACACAGCCTGCAATCCGAACGCGATAGTATCATCGTCAGTATTGTCTGTGTAGAGCTTGTGTGAGACATGCACTGACTTAATACACCAACCTACAGGTGTTGTTACGACAACCAGGCCTGCCTCTCCAACGGACTCTGTGTATCTGATCCTCACGATCCTGTCAAAGCGCGATACCATCGAGGAACATGTACAGATAAAGCATGGAAGAGCGGGAACTGTGTTCGACAATGCCTTGGTAAACAGATTGTTACCCATGTATCGGTACGTTCTAATCGGCAGACAGATATCGAAGACAACGGAGCGCCAGTCTATAGCTGCAATGCGACTGACACCGATTCGTATTGCTGCGGTGACGACTGTGAATGCGAGAACCCCTTCGAAGTCTTCTCCTTCGATCAATTACCAGCCGACGTCTACACCGTTACCATTATTCTTGAGTCGTTTACTCAGACCCATACATCGACACCATCAGCTACTTCCACCGTGCCAGGCTCATCTGCCAGCGCAACTTCAGTGCTTGCAGTCCCAACTACTTTAGCATCCGCTACAACAGCCCCAAAATCAGGAGGATCAACGGACAACGTCGCTCTGGGGGTAGGACTGGGGGTCGGACTTGGTGTAGGCCTACTTGCGGCTCTCATTGCTGGCTTTTTCCTTTGGCGTCGCAAGAAGGGATACAAGCCCGCCAACGATGGAACTGAAAGTCCCATGGAGCTGAGCAACGAGGGATTCTTTCCGCCTCAGGAAAAATATGCCTACAATCGTCAGACGGAAGTGCCAGGGTAAGAATGAGACTTGATCAGGCCATCTAACATCAGGGCTAACAACACAATCAGAGACATCGCCGCTGCTGAACTGCCCGCAACACCACACGAGCCCATTGAACTAGCCAGTCCCACCGACCCAACACAACTTACAGGAACTGCCACGAAGTATCGATGAATCATACGATCAGAATGACGACAAGAAAAACTATTTGAAGGCTTTCCGCTGGGAGCACGATAAAGAAATATACATGGCAAAGCTCGCGGCAGCCATATTTGATACCCAGACAAAATAGCGGGCTACGTAGGAGCACAAAAGCGCGTGTGAAGCTTCACATGAATAGATACCCATTGCCGGCTGGCGCACGTTCAACAAAATTAGGAGAAGCTCTACTTCGTATAATTGCTCTCTCACTTACAATCTAAACCCCTCCCATTCCATGTTCTATACATACTCCGCCACACACCCCGCCGACTCCACCGCATGAATATCGAAATGTCTGGTACCTGGCGCTAGTCTGATACAGTGGCTGAGCAAGTGCGAGCTCTATTTCCGGAAGCCGAATGTATCCACCAACTTTTGTCGTGTCGAGGGATCATGCTTGTGCCCCCAGTGTGGCGGAGCGGGGTTTGAGTTACCCTGGATGGTCAGGCAGGTGGGGTTTCAGACTCCGGAGTTGGCAGCCTAGATCGGATGGTGAGGGGTGAGGACGGGACGAATGGATTGAGTCGAGTTGAAGTCGATAGATGGCAGCATGGGATGTATAGGTAGGTTTGCTGGATTATCTGGTTTAATTGGCTGATAGCAGATGAGTATAGGTAGATGGTTGGTAGGGATTTGTTTCATGTAGTATGAAGTTGATCACCACCACCAACTTACCAACACCACTCATCATTACATGTACGACTTTATCACCATTCGACAAGGTACCGTACTGTTTCACAGGATGCAGGAGATGACAAATCGCACAATCACAAATCACCACTGAGAAAAAGCCTTTGTATCAGAAATCGTGTTTCATTTCTATAGGCATCTAAGCCGAGGGTGATGTTGACTATTGACAGGCATCCTAAGACCCTGCCAACACCCAATCCCCTTAATGTTCGTTACAGCAAAATCTCAAAATCCAGACGCCAAATATGCAAAGAGAAAGTCTGGGTATGTACAACAAAAAAGCCGGTCGCAGACCTCATGCCCAAGGGTGAAAAATGTGTAGAGAGCGAGTGTGTGAATGTAGTTCATGATTCAACATGTGTCGTCGTTAGCGATGCATAGAACGGGTTGTTTGTGCATCTAGTGACCGTGGCGGCGGTTGGACCGGCGAGGGCGAGCGATACGGCCGTGGTAGCCACGCTTGGTGATGCTGCCGTTGGTGCATTGTGTGCCGGCAGCGACTGCTTGCCAGACGACTTCGCCGTTGTTGCAGAGACCGAACTGGTCGGTTCCGTTGCAGACTACTGAGCCGTTCTCAGTGCAAGCGCCTGAGCTACCACCAGCTGAAGGTGTGGACGGAGTGGAAGGAGTGGCAGGGGAGCCGGTTCCAGCAGGGACGGTGGGTGCAACTGGCGATGGAGCGGTTGGCGAGGCAGTGACTGTGACGAGCGTGGTAGAAGTGCCTGGAACAGTGGGCGCAGCTGAGGGAGCGCCAGATGCAGCGCTGGAGGCTCCGGGAGCGAAGACACCGCCACCATTGGATGGGAGAGGAGATGGCTCGCCACCAGCAACGGATGTGGGAGCAGCAGACGGCGCGCCTCCGGCTGGGGAGGTGGGAGCAGCAGAGTACTGGCCATCGTTTGGAGCGGAAGGAGAAGCAGACGGCTGACCACCAGCTGGTGAAGATGGCTCCGACGGCTCAGAGGGAGTAGTACCGGTAGATCCACAGTCGCCAGTGGGATCAACAACGTTGGAAGTGTCCGCGGTAGCCTGGAGGTTTGTGCCAGGGTTGGGGAACTTCAAGTCCTTGCTCACTTGCTGCTTGCAAGTGGTTGATGCAATGTTGGCAACCAGCATATCGGGAAGTTGGTCAAACTTGGATTTGTCGCTGGCACCTCCAGTAACCTCGATGGGCGCGCAGTTCATGTACATCTCTGGGCCACCGCTCAACTTGGCAAACCAGGTCCAGGCAAATGTGGCCTTGCCGTTAGGGATGCTGTCAGGGAGCTCGAAATCGAAAGCTTCAGGTCCGTCGATACCAGGGCAGCCACCCTCGATAGATTTGATAACTTTGAAAACGGAGTCCTTTGTGGGCTTGGTATCCATTGTGACACTAAGCTGGCATGAGCCGCCACCGTGAACAGCACTTCCAGAGAAGGTGAGGGACTGCTTCTCGCCTACAGCCATTGAGTTCATAGTCGTGACGGTGAAACCAAGGTTGGATTTGCATGGGTACTGGTCTGCCGTAATCGGGGCGTTGTCAATCTTGTCTGCACTGTATGGAACAGGAGACTTCATGATCATGTGGGCGTTGGCAGTAGCGAAAATTGCGGCCGTGGCCATGATGGTAGATCGGAGAGACATGGTGCTGATGGTAGAAGTGATGATATCGTACAACGACAGTAAATGTTGAAGAATGTGTAGAGAATGTGAGTGATCTAGCCCTGCTAGTCGCGTGAAAAAAATGCTGCAATGCAAAGAATGTAGAAGTTGCTGAGAGAGCGTGTGTTGTGATGAGACAATTGTTCTGTGAGGCAGCTGTAGTCTCTTATACTCGTGTCACGATCTACATGCTGTGGGTACAATGTCCATTGTGTACCGCCACCAGGCCCTCCACAATGCATATCCTCGAACGACCCTCTAATCAAACGAGCAGTCTGGAGGGCGACAGTGTAAACGCAAGACATGGTACATGGAAGATCTTGGTGGTCCACAGCGGCGAGCGTCTACGGGATGAAACGGGCGGTCCGGGTGTGCTGAGGCTCTCAGCCAAGGGAATTCCAGAACGGCGCACAGCCGACGCAGGTACGTTATGCGTCAACGCCCAAGCGGGAAGGCGACGAATACGTGGACTCGAGGATCTCCATGTCTCGGTGTAGGGCCTCAGGAGAGAGGTTTCGTTTCGATGTTGCATCTGGATGACCATTGGTCGCGGCTGAGTCGCTTAGCTCATCGGCAAAAGATCCGGACCCCTGTGTGTTTTATGCTGCGTCGCACCTCCGAGCCGATAACCCCTGCATTGCCAGGCCCATTGGTGAGCCGCCTACAGCCTCTCGATGCCAAAAGCTGAAGGCGTCCGCTACTTGCTCCACCGCGCCTAAGGACAAAGCTTGAATTCTTCCTTGAAGCCGCGCAGGGTCTGTCACACCTTCATTCGTCTACCGTGCAGGACTGGCTGTTGAAAAGCGCCAGCTCGCCGATCACGATCTACGTCAGCTAGAACTGTGGGGATTTGGGATGTCGTTTTTGTTTGCCGATTGGGAGTAATCATTCCACTGTTTCGACTACCGTCTCTTCAACCTATGAGGATATGGATATGAAGCCAATACATTGGAGGATGTTTGTTGTTCGGCAAACTGCGACGATCCAAGGTATCTCGGCCTTCTTGTCACCTCCAAGGGTCGGCGATGCCGATTTCGGAAAAGTGGCTCGATTGCTGCGCCACGATGTCATATGGAGCAGGAGTGGCGCATAATGTCTGCATTTATGCGGCATCGTGCTCGAGCTGGGCTCAGCAGTAAAGTCGTCCTCTCTCTAGTTTTCGTAAGGGAACACCAGCAGCGAACGCGATGTGACCGATGTCATCATTGCCACGCACATCGGCAACACATACCTCAACGTCTTTCAGAAGTCTCGCTCTTTCCATAGCATCAAGCATAGTACCTCCGTCGGGTACCTTAACCCAAGGGTTTTCGTAGGTCATGCTGGTGACGAATCCGAAAAGCTCTGGTCCTAATGTTTTGCGTTTCAAGAACAACGCTACACTGCCTGTCACAAGGGTAATGGTGGACGCGGCAAGCAGAAGTGCAAGCCAGGCAAAGTTGCACACAAATATTTGTTCTGTTGCGGTGATGTCGGCCGTTGTTGTCGCTCCAATGAATGGTGACTTGATGTCCTGCACTGCTTCATCGAATGTTGTCCACCACTCGGAGAAGGCATGATCCGTAGCCGTTAAATTCTTCGGAAGGTAGGCGTTGATGTCGTCGAATGTGCTTGTGTCTGGCCCATAAAGCGATAGGTTCTTCGACAAGCTGCCAAAGTAACCTGTCGGCTGTATACTCAACTGATAGAAAGTGTTTAGTGCCAGACTTAGTCTTTTGGAAAATACCTCGGGGGACACCAGTGAAAGATTCGTGAACATGACATCGGAAGGTAAGTTTCCAACTTGTTGCACGAAAGGGAAGACCGAGGTGTTGGCCAAGAAGCGTTCGGTGGGGCTCGATCCAGCTGTGAATTTTACTGCACGAGGAAACTGTTTCGCAAATCCGAACATGATCGTACCGTGTTCAAGTCCGGTGAGTGCTGTGGATCGGTTGTCTTCCAGAGAATTTCGGAGCTTGGTCGTAGCACAAGTGCTTCCTTTGCATTGTGCAAGTGCTTCTACATGGACTTGTGACAATGAACATGTCGCGATGTTCAACCCGATTCCATTTCCGTCATGTTCTGTTGCGTACTGCGAAACGAACAAAAGGTCTCGGTTGGTGGTGAGTTCCTTTTCCGGCATGAGAGAGCTGTTGTAATTGCCGAAGAACCCGTTCAGCCGACCCATATAAAGATCACCATCATTTCCTTCTTTAACGCCCCCTGGATAACTACGGGTTGTATCCATGAAGAAAGAGTTGCGATCTTGGGCGCTAGCGTTACCAAAAGGATTGTACGTCTCTTTGTCATCCCACACCTGACCAGGCACCAATTCTTCTAGCCTGGTGGAGTTGGTGGTAAAGTAGTCATCTCTACCTCTCAGACCAGGATAAGGTGCTTGCTTCCAGGGCTGACAATCTAACGAAAGATAAGTGTACTGGAGACTGAAGTTTGAGCTCTCACGGGATGGAAGGCCAACAATAGGAAGACCAACTAAAGAAGAATAATCCTCTGGCAACGATGCATCCGTAGGTACACTGTACCAACCGTCAGGACCCAACGCCGATGAGTTCATTGAGTCCAAAGTTGGAATCTTGATGTTGCCCCAGGGATCCTGAGTCCCCAGCTTTGTTGATAGTGGTGCCATCAACGCCGCAGTGTAGAGCGCCCCGGCGTCGGCGAATTTTCCACTGTCAATATAGGTCGAAGATAGACCCCACATAGTCGCTGCTGGCCCTGTAGTCATATATCGAAGTTTTCCAGATGTGTAGGAATCTTTCATGTCTCTTGTCATTAGTCGAAGCGAAGCTTGACCACCCAATGGTGAAAGAGCCCAAAGGAAGAGGAGGTTCACGCCAACAACAGTGAGTCGTTGCATCAGCAGTTGACTTTCGAAAGTACCCCAAACAGACTGACTTGCCATGAGGAGCTCCAACGTCTAAATGTCTCGTTAGCAATTTAGGATGAGAGTGTGAGTAAGAGAGCTTCTTGGCACGCTCGTCTTGAAGAGGTTCACGTACGCTGATTCTAGAGCCTCTTTCTGCAAGAAACCGAGCGATCATCTTCATGCTCCTCCCAGTTATGGCAGCAAACACAATAGGAAACATTGTAGGGCCCTACTTACGTCAGCTAGTCATAGGAGTTGAGCGGCATGTGTAGTCATACAAGGTCCATAGCTGTTTCTACCTTGGTTCCAAATGTCGAACCTCGAGTTGGCTTTCCATTTAGGGTGACTACAGCCACACCAAGAACTACAAGAATTAGAAGAGTAAGACATGATGATGATACGACTTACGAATAAAGTATAAGGGTAGTAGTACGAGCAAGAGGTCCCCAAATGCATACAGCCAAGTCAACCAGGTTTGGGCCTTCAACGGTCGAGCTTCCTCTGGCCAACTCTCAACTCTCTCGACTATTGTCTCCCGTTCCTTCGATTTCAAGTTCGTTTTCATCCCAGTCATGGGTATCGTATTCACATTCGCAGTTGCATCATCCCTCTCTTCCACTTCCACTGTCTGTCCACCCAATCCGTGCCGACGAAAAGGGCTCCATCGCGAAACTCTGTTAGCGTTCATGATCGCGATTGCTGACGCTGACTCGGAGTCGCTCCGTGACGCGTACGATGCTAAAGAGCCGTACTAACGTCGGGCGAAGACGCTGAGATGTAAGGTACCGGTAAGCTGAGGCTGATAGTTCGCACGCAGCGAACGACGCCTCTTTTGCCTTTGCATGTACCCATCCATTGCGGCGTAGTCGCATAGCGAATCCTCAACATGGGCGCTAAGCACACTTTCCACATTTTCTCCTTCATTAGGAGCGCGCTTCCCGAGGGGTGCATTCCTGGCGAATCGGTTGGTGGGGGTGAAACTCGAAGCGCTTGGGCGGGTCCCTAGCAACTCTAAACTGGGAAACCGCCATTAATCACGCTGCATATCGGGGTTCATGCTATGCTGCTTGAGGGAACGATGGGAGTCTCGGGACGGGACGAGGAGCCATTAGAAAGATGCCGACCTCAATGATGATGCTGCAATGTTGGCGTAGGTCAGGATGGAAGCGTGGGGGCCGAAGTGCAGGCGCGACCTTGTCGTGTACAATCGCGTCTCTTGAGGGGTGCCTCACCACAATATACGCCAAAGACATTGTAACATACTAACATAGTCAAAGACCGCGAACATTGAATATATACAATGATCAAAAATTTATTTTGTAACAAAGCTCCACTACGAAATGCGAGCTAACTACTGGGGGTTATCACGGAAATCAAACTCGATGCCAATCCTTTTGGCGCCCGCTACGATGCAGAATGATGCCGCCTACATGATGGACAAATGTTACGCCAAACCCGCTGATGAATCCCATCTCCACACTATTCCTCAGATCCCAACTAGAACTCACAACCTACCCTCGGCTTGCAAGCATGCGATCCACGAACTGGACGTAGAAGTTACGCCATTCCTTCTCTTTTTTCGGTCCTTCAAATGAGCCGGCAAGAGTGCGCAGGTACTGGTCCGCACCATCGTCGCCCACTCCCATGCCACCGAGATCGCTCTTGAGGCGATCTACATAAGACTCGCCGACCTTCTTGATGATCTCATGTTGCAGGTTGGCAGTCTCGAACAGTACCTGCTTAGCCTGCGCATCTTTAGAGTTGAACCCTGGCGATGCCGGTATCGACCATGCTAACGGGGAGAACTTGTCTACGACGTAGTTGTCGAAACCTGGCAATGGTGCTTGAGCGGTGTCGGGAGATGTGGGTGTAGCGTTCGCGCCGGGCCCAACCTTGTCAGGCCCACCCCACACTGAGACCATACGAATAAGCACAAAGATAGCGAGGCGTGCGGTAGGGTAGTCATGTGTATCGCGAGCGAATGTCTCGATGGATGAGATTATAGGCTCGAAAGTCGCTTGGTTCGCTACACAATATTAGCAGTGCTACTATATCTGCTCGATGAATTGGACTTACCATTGCTAACGAACACAGATCCGAGACCCTGGTTGAGAACCACAACAATAAAGTTTAGGTACTCTCGACGAAGCTCAGCCAGCTGGATCTCGTCATCTGTGCCTGAAGGGACGACCGCCAATGCTGTGAAAATGCGTTGCAATACTGGACTCATAACGGTATCCAAGATACCAGCGATCTCTGATTTGAAAGTGAAGATGACCTGGCCTAGGACCTTGAGGAACGTGCTGATCTCGTCCATAGAGGAACTGAGGGACAGAAGTCCTTCAATCCAAGAGGGCAGCTGTTGTAGTAGACGCGAACCAAGGACAGCAATCATGCGTGAGAAAGCAAAACGCGCAGCGTGACGAATAGACCCTGAGGAGTTGAGGGATTCGACAGCCACGAGAATAGCCTCAGATGCTTTCACAAACTCTTCTGCCACCTCGCTCTGTGGTACGGCGCTGTTGTTGTTTGATGGCACCCAATCAGAGTAGCCTCGAGCTAGCGTCCCTATGGCCATGATAATGTGGTGGATCTGGAGTATAGCCCGTTCATCGCCATTCCTCGCCTGAGGAAGAGTTTGCTGCATGTCGTTGAACAGAGGACTCATGATAGTCTGTGCGTAAAGCTTCTTGTTCTCCACGGAAACGGTGTTGGACGAGGCGATGCAGCCCACGGCCTCAAACAGGTATAACTGCGAGTTGAAAAGTGCATCTGCCGACTGATCTTCCTCGTCAGACGACATCTCGTCTTCTGAAGTATCAGGAAGTTCAGCCTTAATTGTGAGCAAGTCTCCAACCGCCTGAATAATGTCGTAGGACACGTTGCCTAGCTGAGCCCGTAGGTGCTTGACTAAGCGTTGGAAAAGATACCAAGATCGCGAGCGGACCTTGACATGTTGGCTGTGGGTAAGGTTGACGAAGTTCTCCAGGACCTTGGGAATGAGGTTAGGATTCTGTTCGAAGAACTGGTAGTAACGAACGCAGATCTCCATGTACTGTAGCTGAACGGCGGGGTGTGGGTAGTTTGCTAGACCAGATTCAACCATGCTGTTCATCATGGTCACAAGCTGCTGAGCTGCGGCAGATGATGGCTCGCGTTTCGCGTACAGCCCTTGGTTCCTGACTGCTAATTCTCCGAACAAGTACATTTCGTACAGGGCCAATTCGAGATCGCGCCAGTTGAGCGACTGATCTCCCTGAGATAAGCGTCCGAATGTTCCGTTGACTAAGCGGCTAAGGGTCTCGATGTAATAGGGTTCGTCAATGGCGGTCACTGTCTGTTGCAAAACGTGGAGGCGTCTCCGGAGATCGAGAAACTCTGCCTCATCTGTCTGCTCACCTTCCTCACCCCATGAAGCTGTCTCGTCGTACTTCATCTTCGCGATGATCGCATCCAGAACGGGTGGCAGTACTGCGGCGTACTGTGGAGGTATCGAACCAGATTTCTTTTGCAATTTGCGAAGGAACGTAAGAAGATCCGTGAGAGATGGAATGACAGTCGAACAGACTTCGTCGTATTGATCGGCGAAGAAACGCAAAAGGTAGGGAGTGAAGATGCGAATGAGATCGTCTGCGCGTTGCCGGATGTGCTCTTCGACAGCTTCGTTTTCCAAGATCTTTACGATATCGAATACGATGTTGTTTACGAGCTTAGCGACGGTCTCGGCAAGATCGTTGTCGTAATTCGAGCTGTTGAAGTCGGCTAAAGCTGGACTGCTGATGAGCTGACCAACGACTTCGGAGAGGTTCAGGAAAGTGATCAGTTCGATCTTGTCCGCTGGACTCATCTTCTTGCCCACGATTTCCGAAAAAGTATCGATTGCAGCATCGCGCACCTTTCCAGCGGCGCTCTCGGGGTCGCCGATTCCTTGCTGACCCGCCATTTCCAGGAAGGTTGTGATCATAGCTTGGTTGACGATCAAGTTGATGTCCGTCCAGCTGACCCAGCGCCCAATGGTCCTGAGGCACATCTCCACGAGATTCAAGTCTGTCTCCCTCCACTTTGCGAGTATTTCTTGCCAGGATAATGAGATCTTCTGCGCGTCTCGTTGTCGAATGAGGTCCTTCAATTCTGTGTTGCGCTTCTTCTCGTCGTCTGGTCGGGCGACTAACTGATCGGCAATCTCATCATGAACCTGACCGAGCATACGCAGGTACAGCAAAGTCGTTGCTGTGTTGACGTTCCCGATGGTGGACTGGTCGCCAGCCAAGGACCGGAAGTCGTCGAAGAAGGACTGCCATGAAGAAGGGTATAGTGCTACAAAAAGATAAGTGACAGTCTGCATGAGCTTGTTCTGAATGTGGCTTGTGTCTGCAGCTCCACTGCCTGGTACGTAGGATGCGTGGATGTAACCCATCAGGGTATCCTTGATGTATGCAAGACTCTGCTCATCCAGACGATGCTCTTGGATGGCATTGTTTACGAGTTCGAGTGAAGTATGACGGACGAAGTCGGTCGGGCGAGGGTCGCGCGCGAAGAGTGTGAGGGCGGCTTGCCATGCGGAGCCTTCTGCGCGGAGCTGGTTCAAGTATTCGATAGCTTGGCCGCGTAGTTCCTGGCTCGACGTCGGGTTTGCGGCGATTTGTATGGCATTTTCGACCTTGTAAATCGTGAGTACATGATCAAAGAGAGGAAACAGCCATGCGTACCTGGCTCTCCATTTTGTCGTGTTTTCAGAGCTGAGCAAGCAGCGTTGAGTCACAGCTTGCGTCGTCGATGTGGTTGAGGCTATGAAGAGTACATCGGACGTGATGGAGTGGAACAAGAACTAGATTGGTGTGCTACCGAATCATGGAGCAAAGCGCGGGAGACTGCATCGTGGAAGCGTTACAGCGGTGAAGGCAGAGGCGGGGCACGAGGGGCTGACGTACGGCGTGTGCAAGGGTTTATGCGTGAAAGAAACTACGGTCAGAGCTTTAGGTTCTGTGCTCTACACAATCAGATTGGCGGCAGAAAAAAGCAAAAGTGGTTCTGCGTCTTTGTCGAGGCGTGGGAAGCAAAAACAGCTGTGCAGTGACTGAAGTGGCAGCGCCAAGAGTCCATGGTGGGATGTCCGCACGCCCAATTTGATCGAGTGACACGTGCGCACGAGATTTTGATTTTGGAATGGCAGCCTGCTCGGTGAGTATTTCACCGACATTGTAGACCTGTCAATAAGACAGTGCGAGATTGGCAGCCTTTACGTACGTTGCGTCATACTAAGAATCAACTCTGCAAATGAAATGTGTTCTTCATCACTACTTTATGTCGACAGCTTCCATAGCCCATTACGTCGATCTCCCCATAATTGATACACAGGATTTTGGTGCCTAAAAGAGTAGGCATCAGCAGGACATGTGATCACCAATACGGCAGCAAAAATTTGCAACATGTGTACGAATTGGATTCTATTATGTTCTATAGTTTCTCTCTGATACCCGAACCGCTTCTGTCGTAGTGAGCAGTCTGCAGTGATAAGAGTCGTCAGGCCGACTTACTACGCGTTCAGATGCTTCGCCGCCCACTCGACGTGGTCATCGGCAAATGTAGCCATGAAGTAGTAGCTGTGGTCGTAGTCGGGCTGCATACGTAGTTGAATGCCCTTGTCGTTGCCAGATTCCTTAGCTGCCTTGACGAAGTTCTCTGGAAGTAGTTGGCCTTGCTTGTAGAAGTTGTCTCCGGTGCCCTGGCCTAGTCAGTAACATACTTTAGCACTGTCTTTTGGTATACGCACCACGTCGATGAGCACCTCCAGAGGACCCTTCCATTGCTTTACCAGCTCTGACGCATCGTGCTCTTTCCACTTTTGTTGCTGGTCTTCGCCAAAGTATCCCTTGAATGCCTTCTGACCCCACGGACAGTTGATAGGGTTGGCGATAGGGGCGAATGCGGAGACGGACTTGTACATGCCAGGGTTCTTGAGGAACTATCATTGATGGTTAGTGAAGTCCTTTGGAACAGGTTTACAGTAGACCAACCAATGTCAATGCGCCGTGACCGCCCATGCTGTGCCCTGTGATGCTGACTTTGCTCGAGTCGAGTTCTTTGAAGGATGAGAACAACGCTTCAGGAAGCTCCTTGGTGATGTAAGAGTACATCTTGTAGCCCTTCGACCATGGGTCCTTGGTGGCATCGACGTAAAAGCCTGCGCCAGATCCAAAGTCGTATGCTTCATCTTCACCTTCGATCTGAAGACCTCCTAGCCAGCGGGTTAGTCGGGTACTCGGAACTTGAATTCACAGAAAAGACGCACTTGGTGATGTGTCGGGGTATACGACGGCAATGCCGTGCTTAGCTGCGCCGTGCTGGAAGAAGCCCTTCTCCGAGCAGTTGTTGCCGGTACATGTGAGTCCAGAGAGGTAGAACAGAACGGGGACCTTGGCTCCGGACTTGAGTGCTTGCGGAGGTAGGAACATGTTAAGCTCCATGTCTGTGTTTGTGCTCTCGGACTTGTGCTTCAACTTGAGAAGCTTGCCCCCAAAGGAGGCAATGGTACCTGTGGTTTCGAAAGACATATTGGACAGTGTGGAATAGCGGGAGAATCGTGTAGGAGGCTGAAATGCAGATACAAGTCGAGGGGTCCTTGGAAGTTTTGTGAGCAGGCGCATTGGGTGACGTTGTGCCTGGAATTAGTGCGGGGGCAAATAGCTATGTCAAGCTACCCCACCTTCCTCTAGACTTTTGGCTTGTTACAGGAATGTTATCCGCGGATCCGCACATGCAACGGACAAGGCTTGGAGTTAACGGAGATCGGGTGAGATTCGGGATATAATTGCGCAACCACTTAGAGACTCCTTTCGCCGATATGCCCCATATTTAGCCAAACAAAACTCCTTATCAGATGCAACCAAACACTCAATATCTCATGTCAGAAGCTCTTCACAAGTCCAGTCCTCGTAGTATCCATCAGGCAGATACCGCCGTACGACGAGCGGGATCTTTTTCTCTTGCAGCTCTTTCGCAGCAATCTGCAGAGGGTCGGTCATTCCTTCCACGTCAATCAACACCGGAGCGTTACCACTGCGACGTTGTTAGTCTTTGCGCGCCTTCCTTTCGTCAAGCTGTAGCCTACCTGATTTGAAGCGCCCTTGTACCCAAGACACGCGCCTTCTCGTACTTTGTCATGTATGGAGTGGTTGTGCGCTTGTCGTTAGGAACCTTCTTGTCCTTTTCGCTCGTGACTGTGTTCTTGGATGCTTCTTTGGCAGCAGCAGCCGCGTTGGCATCGCCTGATACTACTACGTTGTCGTCGTTGGGGTCGGCGTTGTCTGGGTCTTCACCACCGCCAGGCTGGTCGTCTTCGTCGTCCATGAGATCGGGCTCGGCTTCCTCGTCGAACTCGATGAGAGGCTCGTCGCTGTTCAAGTTAGACTATGTTGGAATATCTTCTGCCATACTCCAAGTAGTGCACCTGGTGAAGGAAGCATGGAGATAGAATCAACATACACATCACCGGCACCGCCATCGTAGTCGTCACCGCCGTAGTCGGACATTGTTGCAGTCGATGTAGGGTTTACGCGTAGGTGTGTCTTGTGAAGCTGTGTAGAGTATTACGCGTGAAAGATGGGGTGCACTGTGTATGCCTGATGCGATGCGACGGTAAAGAAAGTTCGCGATCAGAAATCGCAGGGGTCGGCGTCGGCGTCGGCGCTAGCGCAAGAACTCTTGGCATCCGAAAAATACAGTGGACCTTGAATATCGTCCATGGTTCTCCGCATCCTTGAGCCGCTTATCATAAACAACCCGCAAGTTGTAGGCATCGCTATGGCTCCGAAACGGAAACCCACAGAGGATATTGGAACGTTGCCGCAGAAGAGGTCTCGCAAAGGTATGACAACCCAACCACCATGACGTTGTCACCAAAAGCTAACATTCCCGGAGGTGCTGCGGAGAAGACTGCCGAGCAGGATTATGCTTCAGACGATTCAACCGATTACAAGGTCAATTACACCGACAACGGCACATTAAGGGCTGAGAGCGAGGCTCGCCGCGCTTGGAACTATGTGTGTCCAACCTGCTCGCAACGCTTCAACCGACCATGTCGCCTCGAGACGCACATGCGAAGTCACAACAAGGAGCGACCGTTCGTCTGCACCGAGCCCGGCTGCGACAAGACGTTTCCACGAAAAGACCACTTGCAGCGCCACCTGAAGAACGCCCATAGCGACCCGGCAACCGAGCGAACGTTCACATGCGATTGGAATGGGTGTGGCAAGAGTTTCACCTCCAATGGCAGGCTCCAGAGGCATCGAGACGTCCACGAGTCCAAGTTCTACTGCACCGACTTTCCCCCGTGCAACGAAGCGTTCAGGAAGGCGAAGGCGTTAGAGGCACATATCAAGAGTCAGCACCTGGAAGTCAAGCCCTACACCTGCCCTCGTGTGGATGAAGAGACAGGCGAGAGATGCACGAGTGGCTTTCAGACTGAGGGGGCATTGCAACGGCATATGCAAAGGGCACACGCATACACGCAAGAGCAGGGTCACTTCTGCATGCTATGCGTGACTGGTACGGAACCGGAAACAATGCAGACCGAGTCTGGGGAAACAGTCACAGTTCCCGCGCAACTTCCGTCATTCGCTACGAAAGAAGAGCTAGAGGCGCACACGAGTGAGTGCCACCCACCTGTGTGTGCAGAGTGCGGCCAGAAGTTCAAGACTGCATCCAATCTAAAGACGCACTTCGACACAGCACATGGCGACCCACAAGAACAATCGCAGTATGCTTGTCCCAGACTAGGCTGTGAGAGTGTCTTCAACCGGAAACACAACCTCACTGTCCATATCCAGACCGTCCACGATAAACAGTTCAAGTACTCGTGTACATCAGATGCTCTGCAGAATTCCAAACACGCAGATCTGAAAGCCTGGAATGGCGAGAATGCATGCGGCGCTTCCTTCAAAGCGAAGTCGTCTCTCGATCAGCACGTACGGACACATCACCTTGGTCTCGGCAACCGCAAACAGTTGCGAAAAGCTGCAAAGTCAAAGAAGAAGTCAGAGCCCTCGATGCTGACCATGCTTACTGGAGTTGGCTATGAACAAGGCCGAGAGATCCCTTGTTTGGTCAAGACATGTGAGTATCGCTTCTACATGGACCGTGATCTACGACGTCATCTGCTCGCCGAACACAACATCCCCGATGATGAGATTGAGGAGATGATTCAAGAGCGTGACGCCATTAGTGGAGGACAGTTCTGGATTGGTGGTTTCGATGATTCGATGAATATGTTCGACTCTGTTACGCCAAGCATGCCAGAGACGCCGGTTCAATATTTCATGGAAGGTAACACCTCCATGCTACCTTACCCTGACCCTAAGGCCATGGATGCACATCATGGCTTCTTTGACCAGCAGTTCGATCAGCTCTCACTTCTAAAGGACGATAATGAGATGGATGTAGCAATGGGCTTGGATCATCTGCCACCAGCGATGGATGCCCAAGAGGGCTTGCAATGGGATATGCTAGCTCCAGTCGAGCAATATAACAGCGATCTCACTCGGGGCTGAGATTTTATCGTCGGCCGCGACTGCTGCACGACCGGCATCAAAAGCCAATGGGCATTTTGGAAGGCTGTCTGAAGGATAGTGATGTTTCTACGAGTTACGATTTAGCATGATACCCATATAGCAATCTTACATCTTCAACTACTTGCAAACCTCTTCTGCTACCCTCGCAATGATGCCATGAATTCTGTTTGCAGTTCACAATGTTATGTCAGAAAAAAAGCCATCTTTCGCACATGCCTGCGGGAACCGATACTCACACCATAGCATGATAAACGCATATTTCCTCTTTCGGTCAGCTTCATGCCAAGCCGTCGATTCTAGTGAACGACGTTCGTTCGCTATTTAATCGCCGTAGGGGCGGGAAAATGCTCCGCAAGGGCGGAGAGCTGCTCCGAGCGACTGGCTTGCTAACACTAGTCCGTCTAGACTACCACACCACCACCTCGCTCGTAGCAGCTTATGCAGACAGTCTGGAGCTTGGGCCGCCTGCACCCCACCCAAAAGATGTTCCCAACTGTCAGGGTGAGCCTTCTCTGCACCCAAAAGTCTGGGTCACTACGCAACTGGGACCCGGAACGTGGTGTAGTGATCTCAAGCTTCGTCGTCGACGGAGTTTCAGTACAACATAACATTGTATATCTAGCTATCCAACCAAACGAGATTTTTGGTCTGTTACATGCGGAATCTAGCATATAATATCCGAGAAAAAAATGGAGGAAACGCGTGTTCGTGTGCGCAAAGGGGTATATAGTCGCGAAGATACAAACCCGCCAATGCAGCAAAGAATGGAAGATGATTCCATGTCGGCGCCCGTGCCCGATATAACGCCACGCTGTAAGACGATAACAACAATGATGACGACGCCCAGAGTGAAGCCACTTTGGTAACATCAAAAGCGGAATCTGAGAAAGAATATGTACGAGAACCTGAGGGGAAGACATGTCGCTGCCTCAAGCTGCAGCCTTGACATATCGAGCAAGCGAACTTGCTTCGGGTATGGAAATGGCATGATCCGCTTTGCGAGACGGCCAGTCCTCATGTTCGAGTTCCGCCGTCAGAGTCGTGTTGTGTTGCGCTTCCCAGTCTCGTCGCCACATCTCAAATTTGAGATCCCACCTCTGCAACAGCCTCTTTCGTCTCACTTCAATGACTGCGTCAAGCCTCTCCAACTCTTTCTGATATTCAGCCTCTTTCCTGACTTTTTCATTTTCATGATCTACAAGTAATTGTTGCAGCTCAGCTTCCTGCGTTTCTATCCTTCGTTTTGTGTCCAGCTCTTGCCTTGCCCGTAAGACGTTGATCGCACTCGCGTGCTTTCTTGGGAGATCCTGTTGAATCATTCTTTGACGATCTAGCTTCTTGAAGTCTTCTTCTGACACAGTATGCGCGCGCTCCTCATCGTTTCTTGTACCCAAGCAGTAAGCCTCGATATACTTTAATGCTGTTGCTACGTTTTGTGTTTCCTGGGATTGCGCTTTCAGAAGGTCATGTTCAGCGAGGAGCTGTCGTTCTTCTAGCCGCTCGAGGTCCTCGTTGTGCTGCAGAGGTTTAGTCATCTGACATGTATCACGATAGTTCGATTCACACATACCTTTTCAACTCGCTCCTCTCTCTTGATCCTATATTGCGCCTCTAGAAGCACCATCGAGCACCGATGGTACGTTGACAAAGCTTTTCTCTGATTGCACTCGAAAGAAGAAACACGTTCAAACTGCTCCTTTTGTTGTGTCCTGAAGCTCTTGAAAGCCTCGTTCGCCAACGCTGAGTCAATATTGATCGCCTCGTGCCGGCTGCGTCTGGCTGGGACTTGCGCCAAAGCAGAAGGCTTTTCTGAACTTGGAAGATTCTTGGTTGGATGTGGCGGGTCGGCAGTTGATATTGCGATCTCACAATAGCCAGAGTCACGGAAAGCGGAGTCAGACAGGTCGACAGCATGATCCATAGCAGGCTTAGTCTCTTCTTTCGTCTGAACGATCTCCAATACTGAGCGCGGTATTACGCTTCCACAGCACTCGGGCGTAACATGTGAGCCTCTCTTTGACGCCTCCTGTATATGCGCGCGGGTATCGTAGTCAGACAACGTGTGACCGCATGCCAGCTTTGCGCCTCGTGGCTTGCTGTGGTGTCTGTGGTGTGAGGCCGACGTAGTGCAAGTGCTACTGGAAAGATTTTAGCAAGAGGGTTACAATATTCACTGACCCTGACATACCCCGAGTCTCTTCGGAACATGGAGAAGATGGCGGAGCTACGCTTCTTCCGCGAGTGCGCTTGCCGTGACGATGTCGAGCTAGAAACGACAGAAGGAGCGATGGACAGTGTCGATGATTGCCTTGATTTGAAGTCACACTCAGGACGTTCAGCGACGGTTGTAGGGTTCTCGGCAATACATGTAGGCTGTGGAAGCGCTGTGGGTACTCTCTTCGTGGTTGAGCCGTCGCTAGAGAATAGATGGTCTCTTGATGTCCGGGAAGGCGCCGAGGTGAAGCTTGTTGACTGTGTTTCCTGGGAGTGAATTGAGCGGGAACTTCTCTGATCGCTATCCAACGTCATAGTCGAGATTGCACGAGAAATGGTTTTGGGCGGGGGTACGAAGCGATAAGGATCCGGGATACCGGATTCGCGAGCAAGCAGGGCCAACTCAGCGTCGAGATGGTCTTCATTCTGATTTATAGGCAGGCCCAGGGCTTCGGAGAGATAGACAGCATCGTCAAATATGGGTGCCGTGCCGAGTGCGGCGGTTTCGTCCCATATGCGGTCAAGCATTGCGCCGGAGCGCGCATGCACTTGCCTGTTGGTTGATGTCAAGAGTTCGCTACCAAGACATGCGGGCGGCGGCGAAGGGGTTGTGTCTCTTTGCGTAGGACAGAGGCGTCAGAGGCGCAAGGGCCGGCACACACAATCTTGGGCGACTAACGGAGGGGTGCAGCAGAGACAGGGCGGATCAGGTGTCGAGGTCGCAAGTCGGTGTGAGAGTGTGGTTGACATACGGATGGAAGGAGAGGGCGCTAGTGAGATAGAAGACGCCCACACGCCCACTCTGCAGCAGGTGGATCATCTGCTGATGCTGCATTCAGCATGTCGCTTGCATGCCATCCCACTCGCCCGAATCCAAAATGACATCTGTTCAAGGCCGCTAATGAGTTTGCGCCCGTCAAACTAACGCAGCTATCCGGCCGATGTTGCGCCGTTCTTTTCGTCATGTCGCACTTCCCAGCTTTCGCACCGCCAATGGGGCGACCTAGTGACGATCTAACAACCGTTGTTATCACCTCCGGCCTCTCCTGGAGGTGGCATGCATAGTTCGGCGCCTGTCAACCGTCTTCCTACGACTCGTAGCGGTGTAGCCGGAGTACTTACCCGGTAGTTCACCAAGTGATTGACGTATAGCTTCGGCATTGCAGCTTAGTTCCCACCCGTTCCGACGTCAAGACTGGTCGCGCTGATGTACATACTAGCGGCGGACATCGGGGGCATCCTTGAGTCACCGGTCATATGTACTTTCTTTGCGACGTTGGTGATACGGCGCAAAGACTTTTCCACAGCGAGCAGCCGTAAATGTGGATAACCGCGCAGTTTGGTTTCATCCCATGGTCGATCGCACCGTTGCCTTGATCGATGACGCATGTGGTGGTGATGATCTTCGGCGCGTACTCCCGTCGAGCAAAAGCAGATGTGCACCCGTCACAGCACTCTGTTGAAGACATGTTCAAATTCACAAAAAAGTAAAAGCTGTCCATTCCGAGCATCGTCGCAATGATGCTGCTACTACTCTAAGCGACCATGTACCGACCCGCATGTTGTACATATGCAGCCAAGGCCCGCAAGTGAAGATCGGATAGTGCACAGACATGGATCGGGCTACTGGATACATAGACCCCCACATTCGGGATAAAAAGTCTCAAGGTGTTGCACGTGAAAGAGAAATAAGCTTCATTAATAGTGACTTAACCGGCCTGCTCATGACGTAATGGTGTTCATGGGAGCGTAGGTACAAAAGGAACAAACAATAAAAAAGTATAGATACAAGTGAAAAAGAGTGCAGCGTTGTATGCAACAGCTTCTCTACCAGGACGATGCCAGACCGAGCTGGTGATGGTGCCTCTAGTCTTCCTGAACGCCGGAACATGCCATAACATTGAAGCGCAAATCTATCCGGAAATGAGTACCCAGAGTAAAAAGACTGCGCCTTGTTAGCTTTCTGATCATGCATTGGAGATGGAAGACACGTACAAATCATTAGCACACCGAACATCTTTGCAACAAGCCACCTGTTACCCTGCACACGGCTCCAGTACTTCATCAATTCGCGTTGGGCACCCTCGACATTGTCTACAACGTCCTCAGTGTTGGCGTCGATACGCTGGATCTGCTCTCCTTGTTCAGATACCATCTGGGCGAGCTGACTGAAGATGCCTCCTAGCTCTTGAATGGTAGACTCTATCGACTCGATTGCCCGTCCTCTCTCTTGAATGTATGCGTTCTGGGGCTGAGCTTCTTCCATCAGCAGCATCTGTGCATCCGATTGGGGACCGCCTCGCGTCAGAGCCGACGAACCGGAAGGCTCGAGCGAGAGTAGGTCTTGCTGCACTGCGCTAGTATTGCGGCCAAAACCTCCAGGAGAGCGGCCTCGCTGGGGTGTTTGGTATAACGGGGAATCGGTCCTGCCTGGCTCGAGGCTGCTGTGGGATTGCTGGGCAGCTGTTGACAGAAATTGTTCGGTGCGCGACCGCGATGCCTGCATGTTCTTTGTCCGCACTTCGAGGACATCCTTGAAGTTCATTCCCACGTTTTGTAGTTTGTCTTTTAGCAGTCCCACGACATTGCTGTTGTGCTCTCCCTCTTGATCCACACCAGGTTTCGACTTGGGGTGTTGCTTGGAGTTCATCTGTTGGAGAGCCTGCACCTGGCCTGACAGGGCGGTCATATCTTGCTTGATGACAAAAGTGAGCTCGTCAAACTCGACGGGCCGATCGTCAAAAAGCGTCTTGCGCTTGGCCAGCTGTGAGAGGCGCTCGAGCTTCTGCATGGTGCTTGCGACACCTCGGGCAACGTCTGCGGCATTGCGCGCAAACTCGGAGCGTTGACGCCGTGGGTTGGCATTTGCCTGTGCCTTCTCTTGCTGTGTGAGGAGCGACTGCCGTTGCGCGCCCGTCTTGGATTGTGCCTGCCGTCGCTGAGCCTGCGCAAGAATAGAGCGGAACTCGTCGGTGCGGTCTTGTATCGATACGGCCATGGCGACGGTTTGTTGTGTTGTGGGTAAGCGGAAAAGGGGAGGCGCACACCACCTGTCGGCAGAACAGCGAGGCTGTGCGGATGCGGATGCGCTGGAAGGGTGGAAGTTGCACCGGGGTAGAAGACGGATGTGCGCTCAGTTGGTGGAATGCTCAAGCCGCGTCTCTCGTAGTATCAGGGCAGCAATGGCAAGGCCGAGGGGTGTTCTGATGCGACGCGGAAGTCTGCCCGGGTACGTGGCGTAGGGGAAATGACTGCGGTCACTAGTTTTCACTCTAGCGTTGGACAGGATTTCGGGGGACGCAGACGTGCGTGCTAGTGGATCGAGTTGTCCGTGGGGGGAGGTCGAGCAGCAAAAAGTGGAATATGTTGAGGGTTGAAGCGCGGGCTGGGGTGAATTGGGGAACGTGGCCCATGTCACGTCCTAATTTAGGGCTGTCGTCTGCGCCACACCTGACGGGGCTGCAATCCGATAGTGGCACTGGCCTTTGAGCCGTAAAGCCGTCAAGCCGCGCGGAGAATTGGTGCTGTGACGAAATTGATGGATTGCAGCTTCACTGCCGTCACTCTTCCTCCCTCTGCTCATTTCAACTCTACCGTGGGTGGGCGATTCTTGGTCTCATTTCAGGTCGGGCCTTCAGCACGCGCAGCAGGTGACGTTATCCCGGAAGCTTGGTCGAACCCGCAGCCAGTCCCTCCCGCCTTGCTCCAGCCACGCTGTCTATCACCATCGCTCCGGCTGTCAACCACCCCCTCAGTGCTGCAATCGCGCACCACCCAGCCAGCATCTTTGTCGCAGTGTCTGTCTCGGTAGACATCCTCTCACCTCCCTGGATTGCATGCGCTGTAGGATATAGCTGGCTTTGGGCTCCGCCCTAGTAGAGCTAGAGTGGTGTGCATATCCTATACCCCGACTTTGATACTACTCCAGCATGTCCGGCCCATTCCGCTTCCAGGCGGAAGAAGCTAGGTCACCACTGTAGGTGGCAACTATACACATGCAGTATGCATTCATAGACTGACTCGTGCTAGCGACCGGAGCGCGTCGCCCTTCTCCGCAGGCCAGCCCGTGTCATTCAAGACCAACGTCAATCGTGCCAAAACAAAGAAATGGGTGCAGGCGAAGAAGAACGCCTATGATGGCGATGACTGGGGCGACTATGACGAGTACGATGAATACGGCGTTAACCAGGAGCCGCAACAGTCACAAGCGCCGGCGCAGCGATACTATGCCCAGCGTCTAGAGCAGCCGTCGCGCAGCTTCACCGACCCTTCGCAACAGGCGCCTCTCCCAAAAGGCCGGAGGAATTCATTCGAGCACGGAGAAGAACAGCGCGCCTTCTCCTCGACGATACCACACCCCCAGCACAATTACGGCCAACAGCATGAAGAGCCACGGATACAGACAGATGTTGGTGGCTATGGTCAGGGCTACGACACAGGAGAGAGAGGCGACTTCAGCCCTTCTGCCATGCCCCCGCCCCTTCAGACACGCATATCACAGGTCCCTGCTGATTTCACTCCACCCATCAACACCCAATTCCCTCCTCGCAAGAGCAGCATAGGCCAGGGAGACATGCCAGCGCCGACTTCCCCGCGATCTCGTCAGGGCAGTCAATCCGACAAGCCGCTGCCCTTCATCAGGCCAGCGGACATCTACAAGCGGCATGAGGAGGAGCGGCAACGTGCTTCACTAGAATCGTCGCGACCAAGTCTGGACTCCCTATCTTCCCCAACACGAGACAACATCACCTCTCCTACAGAAGGTGGAAGATCGCTGCAGCCCATGGAAACTGTTGCCGAGCGCAAGAGCGAGTACTATCTGCCTGACTACGATGCAGCAGCCCCGCACCAAGACAAACCGCAATTCCACCAAGACCAGTCTCTTGTGTCACCCCAGGATGACCAGGGCCTACGGTCCGTCGTCGACCAAGCCTTCACTCGCGCTGATGAAAACCGCTCGGTTCCGCCAACACCCATATCAAACGACAACGATTCGAGTTCGGACCTGTTGAGAAGCAATACTGGGAGTACGTCGGGGATCAGTCCAATTATGAGCCGCGTACCCAGCTCTGCAACGTCTGCACTGAGGAACCGTAACCAGGCCGAAGGTAGTACGCCCGCTATTGCAGAAGAACCTAGTGAAACTACGACGCCCATCACCCAGCCAACATCCGCCAATGTTATCGAGCCAATGCACCACGTTCCACGGAAACCCTCGCCAGGTCACAATCGCAACTTCTCCAACTCTTCCATACCGCGCAGCGGCCTTGCTACGCCCACACGTGGTGACAGTCCTGCTCGTTCGCCTGTCTTAGCACCGAGCAGGGACGTGCCCGAACCAGAATCCGCTCTTGTTACAACGGAAAGCAACGAGACGTCCGACGCGATGGAGGGCGGTCTCCAAGGTCCATCCTCTGCCTATGCTACTCGCGAAGCAGACATCGCCACTGCCGCGAGAAACGGGCCAGACAATGGTGCGTCCGAACTCGGTGCAGCAGAGCTTCGGTCACAAGACACCTTCCTGGAGTCGCATAATGCGCAAAGCCCTGTCGACGATGTTTTGCCGCGCGATCGCTCCGAGTCTCCAAGCAAAGGCCGTGTGCAAGCGTTGGCTGGTAAATTTGGAGAGGTAGCTTCGTCAAGACGTGGCTCCACACAATCTAATCGCTCAAGGAATAGTATTCAGTCGTGGGAACGGAGCAATGACAACTCACGTGCGGGGTCTCCAACGAAGACTACTCATTCGAGACACAGCAGTCCTGTCAAAGAATTCCGCCCTCATCTACCAGGCCAATGGGAATCGTACGCAACCACGGCTATGACACCCTCAGATCACGGTGAGCAAGATCGTGGATTGAGCCTCGACACCAATGGCTCAAACTCACTCAATAAAACTGACCTCACGCCAACAACGCCCAAGCACCCAGTCGCTGGCGTATCTGCAGCGGGAACGGACACGTCCGATCCGATTGCTGCACTGAGAGATGCTGGAGCCGCCATGGTCAATTCTATACGCACGACCCTGGGAGCTGATGATAATATATCCGAAAACCAACAGCAGCAGGAACGTCGTACCGACCACGGCAACGTTTACCTCCCTAGACCCCTTCAGTTGGATCGTACGATCACTAGCAACTCAAGTGCACCACCAACTCCCCCTGCAAAGGATACACCAGAGTCAGAATTCCCGCCACCAGCACCTCTGAAAGACCGATCCTCACAGCCCTTCGAGAGCCAGTTCAAGCGACCAAGTCTTGACCCCCAATTGAGTACTGATCCGTCAGCTGAAGACCAAGAAAGCGATCGTTTGCGCAAGGAGATTGTCGCAAGCCTCAGTCCGTTCAAGGCTCCAGCGTCACCGGCTAGTGAAGCCAATCGATCCTCGCTTGCGCCCGTTAGCCCCGGCGCCAATCGTGCCAGCTCTATACTGCCAAGTGAGTATGACACCTACTGGGCGGAAGAAGACCGCGCTTCTCGTCGGTCTTCGCACGAGACTGCACAACACTCTCAAGATCAGCCGTCGGGAAAGACAGTATCTTTTCTACCTCAGTCTGAGGAGCCGACAAAACCGGTGATACTCAACCGATTCAGCTGGGAGGCAAGCAACTCGCAACTGCAAACACCAGAAGAGCAAGCACAGGATGTGCCCGTAGCAAACCCTACAGAAGCATCAACAGCAGCTGTAGTATCCTCCCCAGTCGAGCAAGTTGCAGCTCAGGAACGCCAAGAGTCGTCTGAACCTCTTCCCGACTCATACTTCGGCCCAGATCACACTGTCACGGTCACTAAACCGGATTCTATTAGTCATACTGATATGCCACCACAACCGTCTTCTCCGCCCGTTGATCATGCACGCTCACTTACGAGCCCAATCACTAGCCCTACTCGAGAGGACACACGCTCGCCGGGACTTCATGTTGTCAACACGGAGCTCAATCCAGAAGCCGTGGATCTCCCTCCACGCTTCAGTGCGGATCATGAACCATCGCCGACACTCAAAGAGCCAGACTTGAGTGAAAAACAACAACTCGAGCAGCCCACGGAACATCCTGCCATTCTGCCACCCGTTAGGGATCCCCCAGCGCCCATTGCTGTGCAGGATACTTCACCTATGTCGCCAACCACAGACAAGCCTCTGGGCGCTCGAGAGATTGCAACACTGGCTACAGCTGCTGAGCGAATCGATGCCTACAATGGAACCCGAGAGTACTGGGCGAAGTATGATCATGGCCTTAATGACTGGTTACACTCTGCGCTCGAAGCGAATCCTGATCTTGCTATTCAGAGCTACCCAGTACAGCGAGCCCCTACAAGCTCGGTACGTCATAGGCATACTGGTTCTCTGGCCCTATTTGGAAAGCTTGGAGGATCAAGCAGCCACGATGTGAGCACTGAACAGCATAACAATGCTAGCGTGCCAGTCCCTGCGATCTCAAGCTCCCCCACCACTGCCGCACCCGCTAGCTCAGGATTTGGTGGACGAATAGCAAATCAGCAGATGCAGCTCAAAGGCAAGGACCTGCTTCATACCGCCAACGTATTAGGCGGGAAGGGCATGACTAGCGCTAAGGGATTATTTGCGAAAGGCAAGAGTCGCTTCGGCCGCGAAAAGGTAGACAAATGATCTCTTCTATCCATCTCTTTACACAGCATGCGACGATGCCAAGACAACCTTTTCTTTTGACCCATGGACTACAGTGGGTGATTGGATGGAATCGTATGGACATCGAATGCGGCGTTTATGACCTTGTTTTGGGCGTTTTCGTTCTTTTACCATTGACGACCGTAGTCCTCGCCTGTAGCCCCATAATCATTTGAACGTAATCTCAAGTCTGAATCCAGGTCGGCTCGGCTTCTTTACAGTAGCGTTTTTTTGCTGATGTGATGCGTGAATCAGACTTCTCATGCCCGGGCCGACTCCGCGCCTTCTTCCCGCGAAGCCTCCGAAGAACCCGAACTTGTGACACGAAGATCAAGAGCATCGACAGGACTGAATTTGATACGTTCCAAAACAGAGAAGGAAAAAGAAAAGAGTGAGGAACCCCCAAACGAAGAAAAGAAAAAGCGTCGGTTCTCGTTCTCGTCACAATTCCGCCGTGCCAGTCGCTCCAGAAGCAGACCGAATAGTGTAGCTTTACCGAAAGATACCCCATCGGTCTTTAGCTCGACACCTAAGACCTCGCCTCCCCGTGAGCTCCATCACTATTTGATGGGCGAACGTCGACCGCATTCTTTCCATGCACCAGACTCTTGGGTCGGCACCCCACCTACTGCGCTTAACGAGTACTTTAGTACTACGCCGCCACGTCGAAGCTCCTCACAACCGCGGTTAGGCATATTGCCCTCTCCAGCAAAGAGTGCTTTTTCGAATCCGGACAGAGACACAGCGGACCATGTCCCTCCTGTTCCTCCTATTCCAAGCGAAGTTGCTACCAAGCACTATCGACGCAGGTCCAGTCAGGATAGTGCGAGTCATCGGATGCTGCAGTCCGTTATTCGACACTCAACGCCTCCGATCGTGCCCAACAGGCACTCCATGCCTGCAGCAATTACGATAAATTCGAATAACGAGTATCGCCCAGTATTCGCAGAGGACGACCCCCCGTCCAGTGCTCAAGAAAGAGCTGATGACTATAAGATATTACTGCGTGCTCCAGAGGGATCTTTCCAACCGGATCTGCCCACAGCCGAATCTGGTGATCTTCGACGTGATGGCTTCCAGTTTGACTTCAGTGATGAAGCGTCGAAGAGGGTTGAGCATGACGACATGGATGATGACGATCAACCACCGCAATTGAACCATGATCCACTACCAGTGTCTTCGCAACTTGATCTACAGCAGTCATTCAGGTATAGCAACAAGCACATGGATGTAAGCGATGAGGATAGTGATAAGGAGCCCGTTCGTGGAAGGGGGTTGGCTGTCTTACCAATGCTGGAAACGAAGCAAAAGCCCGATAGTATCAGTCCTGTGCTACCCCCTGTTGGGCCGTCTCCTGGTGCTGTGTCAAACATTAATGACAAAGCAATGGGTATCAAGGATGACGAAGATACCCATGGAGCTGGAATTATCAAGTACGAGAATACGCCTTTTGTTCTGATCCCACAGCAACCAGACGCTGTCGTTGCAACTGAACGACCATCTGCAGATACCATTGGCGCCCCAGGCTCTCGAGAAAACCCTCAAAGTCTTGCAAAACATCCGTCGGTTGAGCTTGAATACAACACGTCTATTCGTGGGAGCTCACCTATTCTGCCTCATCACAGGATCAACGAGATTTCCAGCGCAGAGCGACAAATTGGGTATAGAGATCGCGCCTCCGATGTTGAATCACCTACTCTTGGTCTTCTTGATGATACCTTTCGTACTGGTAAAGTCCGACGGATTCCCTCATCGGAGGCCGAGGTAATTGTTGCGCGCGATGCAACACCTGCATCAGATACACTCGTCGATGACAAAGATGATCAAACTGCGTCAAAACTTGAGAAGACAGATGCAGAGCGTGCCTTCAGCCCCGTGTGGTTTGCCAAGAGTGATTTGCAGCTGCCCGACACGAACACACGGGGTCTCGGGGATGCAGACGAACGCGCGCAAGCCTGTGCAGCGACGTTTGCAGAGGAACCCGGCGAGAACGCAAGGAGTCCACCAGAAACCATTGGCGAGATTGCAGCCCCAGCCCAGCAACAAATACGAGGGCATGGGGAGACTTCGCTTAGCGACACCCTTGCGGGGGCCAATGCTGCAACTGCTGACAGCGACACCTCGACGCGCCGCGTCTCTACGCCGCCTTCTCGGGGCGTCAACGCCGTTGAAGGATATCCCGCATCTGATCTGGTCGATACATCATGGGACCACAGACACTCCACAATTGAACCGCGCGTTGATACAGACGATTCTGATAAGATGAGAGATGAAAGCGACCGCGTAACGCCCGTTGCGCAGGTTCCGCGCATCACCCAGAATGGCCCCGAGACACCCAAGGCTGAAGAACCGCACGACGAGATTTCTCATCCCACAATGTCAAATGGCTACTTCCGTGGCCAGGGCAACTTTCCAGACTTCAAACACCAAGCACATCAACTGCAGGTCTCGAACAATGCTACAACAGCTCCAGAGCGGTCAAGGTCCATGCTCTCGCAAATATCTGCCATGGTCTCAGACGACGGCAACAATCCATATTCACAGACATCTACTGGAAGATCTACCCCGTCTACCATTCGTCGAATGCAACCAGACTCTACCATGAAGCCTTCGGCGGCTCCACCACAGATCCCTGAGGAAGTTTTAACGTCATATGGCGATCATACAGCGAATGGCAGAGATGATGACTTCGATCTTTATGCAGATCACAACGGAGTTGTCAAGGATGTGCAAGACAAGAGTGGCCGGCCGTTGCGGCTTGCAGATCTCCAAGTACCAGGAACAGCGCCACGACCACAGCCATCAAGATCTTCAACCTCCGACATTGGGAGTGCACCAGCATCTCGTGATGGGGAGCATCCAAGATATAGTTTTGAAAGGCCAATGAGCTTCGTTTCAGGGCCTGAAGACCAGGATGGTAAACCTCAAGACCAGATCAACCAGGCCGCAGCCTCGAACGCAATGCAGGTGCTACCAGCTCCTGAGCAGCACCGACATCAACCACAACAATCACGAAATATGGAGACAGTGTACTCGATGAACCCGCCAGCAAGCATGGCTCCGCCATCAGATCAAATCACATCGCGGTACCAACCAGTGCCTGCTCCAGGACCAAGCCCGTCGAAAAACATTTTCCACGCTGTCAAGTCAATCAATCCTGGAAGCAAGACGATTCAGCCAGCTATTGACTCTTGGCGACCCTCGGGCGAATCCGTTTCCCAGCAGGTGCTCTCTGAGAATCCTAATGTCAGTTACCAACCACCACCGACCAATCAACCCTCAGACCATATGTTGCATGAGCCGCAAAGGAGACCGATGATTCCCGGTCAACCAGTTTCGCAGGATGCTCAGAGTTACCCGCAGGCACAAGTGGGATCCCGTGAGATTCAGGCGCATACGCAGGGCAGTGTACCAAGGAACCAGTTTGAACATCATCAGCAGATGATGCAGAGGCAAGCACAATACCCTCGACATCAAGATGCAGAGTTCAGACCACCTACTACTCGTTCACATCCGTCTGCCGAACAAGTACCAAGACAACAAGAGAAGCCATCGAAACCCAGACTTTCATCCATGTTTAAGGGCCTTGGCGGGAAAACCCAAGCAAATTCTCAGCACCCGCCGAGCACTAGCAACACCACCATGCTTTCGGATTCCAAGCCCCTTCCACCCAATCCCAGCTATAGTGCTCCGGTTCAGTCTGTAATGGATAGGTTCACACGACCTAGAGAGGCGTCCAAAGAGAGACCTGCTGAACAGCCCAGGTCTTTCGTGCCACCCAATCGCCCAAGTATGGGTCAGCAACCGCAGTTCATCCAAACCCCATTAGTGGTACCTTCGACCGACTTGCATCGTGATGCAAGGGTGCCCATGACATCTGGTGCCTCAAATGGTTTTCCACCTCTACAACCACCGTCCATGCCCCAAGCCCAGGCTCAGTCGTACCAAGTAACCCAGTCAGGAACACCAGAAAATGGAAAGAAGAAAAGGTTTTCTGGATTTGGAGCTTTGTTCAATCGAGGTGGTGTGAGCGGCGACGGGCCGGCTGCGAAGTCCAAGTTGTCAAAAGAAGGAAAGAAGGCACAGAAGGCTCAACGGAGCTCCTCTGTCCCTCCTGTTCAACCTCCACCATCTCAATGGCTGCCTCAACAACAGCAAACATATAAGCCACAACAGTCCGGTTTGGCATATTATCCTCCTGGACAACTGCCGCCACATACTGTGCGTAATGAGCCACCCATGGGTCCAAAGCTAGGGTTATCTCAGCCAGCACCACATATGAATTCTCAAGGACCACCTCAACAGTATCAACAGGTGCAAAATATGCCGCCGGCACGGAAATCGATGTCCAATACGCGTCCGGAAGAAGGCTCTGCATTCCTCAAGACAAAGCAGCTAGCGATGGAACACCAAGCTCGGCAGAGTAGTTTGCAGTCACACCACCCTCTTGCTTCTAATGCTGGCAATGCAGCACAATCATCAAGCCGAATGTCTGAAAGCACTGTTCCCCACATGCGTCATCCAAGCTCGGGTCCTCCTATTGGTGGATACTACAAACCTCAAGCTGAGCGACCTTCAGCTGAACAGGGAGCCTACGCAGCTTCTTTAGCTGCGCGGCAACAAGCAGAGCAGCACAAACAGCAGCAGATACCTCCACAGGGAGCCTATGAGGTATCGCAGGCTGAGCGACAACAGGAGAGGCAGCAGTCTGCGGGAAGGCAAAGTGTTCATAGGGATCCTCGTCATACTCAGCAATCGGAACGGCAAACACATCCTGGCCCGTCGCCAGAGCAACTCGCTCACCAGGCCTGGCTTGCACAACGCGAGCAACTACGGCAACAGGGGAGACTCACCAACGAACACGATCGGTCATCGCTGAATGACGATGCGCGAGTCCAGCAACTGCACCTACAACAGCAGCAAGACCAACACATGGAACAACGGCAGCCGAACAATGCCCAACCTCTTCCCTACCATAACGCGTCCGAACCCAGACTTCAACACTCTTCTCAAGAAGCTGTTCCTATTTCTCCACCACCTGTTTCTCCTATGCAAGAGCCCAGATATGACGCACCTCCGATACCAGCCGCGTATAATCCTGTTTCTGGGGCTTTTATATCCCCACTTGACCGGGAGCAGCAGCCCATACCAAATCAATTTCATCGTCAAGATTCGGAACCTAGAATGCAAACGGTATCGCCACAGATATCTGCACAGTCTCCAGCTCCTCCCAACGGTCGATCACACTCAGATGCAAGCACTATGTCTCTAGTATCGCCAATCTCAAACTCACCAGCCTTACTTAATTCTTCTCCACCTCCTGTTGGGCAGCGTTACCAGAAGCCAAGGATGAGTAGTATCTCCGAAGTACATCAACAAGACCGCCCATGGCACCTCAACTTCCCAGAGGGCGCCACTGAACAGGAGATTGTTCGAGCACGTCAGGGACAATACATGCAAGAGCGCTTCACTGCTCAACAACAGCAACAGGCTGAGAGAGCTGCTAGCTCACCATCGCCTCGTGCATCGCCGGAACAGATGACGCCAACGACTGTGCCTTCACATGCTCAATCACAGGGCGGCGGTTTCAGAGAACTTCTACCCCGGCACTCTTCACAGCCTGATCCAGAATCACAGGTTACACAGTCTAGTCACGATCTGCAGCCCATGGTCCATCGCGATGCAACTCCTGTACAGCCCACGCCGATACGTCCTGGACAATCTCCACCACCCGCAGCGTACCCTCTCCCCATGTCGCCTGACCCGACGCTAATAGGTAGTCCTGTGAATCCCACCGCAAGCGGTTTACCGCCACCTCCACCCCCGAAGGTCGCCCACAGCCCTGTGCGGCCTGGATTTGGCAGTACGCAACCATTTTCATTCGAGAATCAACGACAACAGTTCCATCATCCCTCGTCTCGAGATGATGGATATGGTTCGTCACAAAGGGTCGTGCCACAGTATGACGAGCAGGTACCAGATGAAGCTCCACCGTCGTACGATGGTCTCGGTGTACCCAACGACGGAATGAACAAGAGTCGTCCAGAAGCACTTCGACCACCTAACATCACGACGAATCTGGAGTATGAATCACGCGGCCGACAACCAGGATCTCGACCACGTCAACCATCGATTGGTATCCTGCAGCACCCACAACCAGCCTCGATGGCTGCATCACCCCAACGCACGTCACCGGACATGGGTGCCGAGTCTCTGCGTCGCCAGCTTCTGCAGCAAGAAAATCTCGCACACATGGAACGCGTCCAGCGCGAACAAGAGCAGCGCGAAAGACATGAACGTGAGAGGCTAGAGCGCGAGGCTGCAAGGGCAAGAGCCAGAGAGCTTGAACGGAGTGCATCTGGTGGCGGACAGGTCCCCAGCCTAAGGAGCGTTGGTGGTAGTACTACTGGGGGACCTTCAGGCTGGGAGAGACGCGGAAGTTATAGCAGACCGGTGTTTGAGTTGCCTGCTGTTGAGGATGACGAACCCACTATGAAGGCGACTAGCTACCCTGGACAGGAGTGGGTACCGCCTATGTGGGATGGTGACTGAGCCCTACGCCCTAATTCGCCCTTTTTCTTTTCTCCACAATCGTCTCAGTCGAGTTTCCACTATCTGTCATAATCCCTATTCATAATTCCTTGGAAGCGATAGGGTCTCGTTTTTCCTTTTCGCGTATACCACCACATCATCGCATCTAGGTCTATCTACGCGTTTTGAGCAAATTTGGATACCCCAATCGTTTCTTTCTGTACACATCGGACAGTTTCGGTCTTATTTTTCCTATGATTGTACGGTTCCTGTGTTTAGATGTTTAATCGTGGCCGAACTCATAGGCTGATTTGAAGTTGGGCACAACGGTGTCAGTCTCGTATATATGTCCCCGTATTTAGTAATGTAATTTGCTATACCATAAGCAAGATTTACTCAGCAATACGGTACCGATTCTTTTCCATTGGCTGGGAGCTATTTGGGTGTCAAACTGAGGTGCGCAATCTCTGAGTCTTACCGATACACGTGGTACCATGGATCGTGGTGGGCTCCCGCCTAGAAAGCTGAGATATCAGCGAGGACTGCGTCAGATTCTGCACGGGTATCTTCCTACGCTAGCGAATGTGTGAAAGTTGTGATAAATTGTCCCGTCTGGTTCCTCAAGTTCCCATGGTTCCCATGCTATGGATGGGTCTAGTGTGGTGAAAGTAAGCAGTGAACAAGCACTGTGAGTTCATCAAATCTTGCGTTCGTGCACGAATAGTGCTGTACGCAATCATTTACAGGAGGTATTTGGTGACTAGAGCTTCTATCCACTCTTCTGCACCCTTATACTTATTCTTGTCCTTGCATACGTTGCTCATCTAGCATCAAAGTCATTTACAAAGTGCTACCAATTTTCGTACAACCGAACTACAACGAGACAAAAAGTGGAAACTTCCTAAAAGAGGAGACTCGAATTTGGCATCAACTACAGTACTACAATGTTTCGCAAAGCCACAAAAGTCGCTGCACGTCAGCACATTACTCGGTGCGCGCGCCGTACACTTCGCTCAAACCTCTTCAACAAGGAAACAGTCTTTGACAAGGAACTCGAAGAAGAATTTGGCTGGATGACAACTTACTCGCCCTTCGACCCTTGTTCGTACCGTCCGATTCCCCTCCCAGTGCAAAATAGCATGGTCATACAGATGCCCACAGCATTACTGGGGTTCAAGACGTCGGAGACAGAAAACGGCGTGGAGGCTGTGAAAGAGACGAAGAAGGGAGAAGCGATTTTCAAACCATGGCCGTATTCCCTTCCTTCGTTTCTCCAACCCAAGGATGGCACAACGTTTTCGCTTGTTAACGGCAGTTCGACCACTCATACCAAGCACACAGGCGTCCTCCAGGCTATTTTGTACGGTGTCCCAGATCCAGAGCGCTTCTCTTACAAGCGAGAATTGGTGGCTCCAGGTAGCCTTCTGCATAAGATCCTGTATGGAATCAAGGAGATGGATGATGGAGAGGGTATTGTTCCTGTTTCTAGTGTCACAGTTGCCAAGATTGAGGATGAGGCTATGGGTGAAGACAAGGCAGGAAAGGAAACGAAGATCATAGTGGTGAAGAACGTGGGTGTCAAAGTCGAGGTGGAGCATGTAATGGAGAAGAACAGTGATATGAGACATGGCATGATAGCCAAGTAGTCCTTAGCCGACGCTTTTAGTCCCTTCTAGAAGACGAAATGTGAACTTCTGAGTCCGACATTTCGAAAATTCAGACTACGTTTGGGGAATTCTGTAATATGCTTGATATACCATTGCAAACAGGAAATGGCTGATTGGGCAAGTAATCCGGTATTTGGTTCGTCCGCATTCGACGCATGAGAAACATGGTTAGCCGACTACGTATCCTGGAAACTGCGAACATTAGTACAGGTCATTTTTTCATATAATGTACACTCAGGATTCTAAGCTCTTTTTCATTCTCTATAGTAGCATATTATGGGAGATGTAACCGAGCTCCTGGCTTCTCTTGTAGACGATCCGGATCCAATACGTCAAGCTGGAGTCGGTCTACATGCAACCTCCTCTCCATCGTCCTTCACAGCAATCAACACAAGCACTATTGACAACACCGCTATCAAGAGAAATACGTCTGAGCCTCGCAGGTCGAACAAAAAGCCAAAGACAGCATTCGAGTTTAACAAAGAACACAATGGACCAGATACGGCTCTCAATCCTGAACTTCTTCACCAGATCGATGACATGACTACAACATCCTCTTCAGGGACGAGATCTGCTACTGTTATTCCGTCTTTTACTTCAAATGTCGCCCCTAAGCGTAAACCCAAAACCAGCAGAAACAGCAAAGGAAAGGCGGCCAAAGAAGATCTTTCCTTATCACGCAAGTTCTTGGAAAGCACAGCCTTTGAGACCGGATCAGCAGCTGCGGCGGAAGAAAAGACAACAATCGAGATACATAAATCGGCAAAGGAAGCAGAATGGCAGTTATTTCAGCACGGACTGGGTTGGCATGAGGGACGCGATCCTTATGGTCTAGCTAGTCAGCCGTATCTTTGGCGGGAAGAACTAGTACCTTGGTGGGTGTGCAGAATGTGCAAAGAAGAGGGTGGGAGAACGAGGGAAGGTGGTGCATGGCTGTCGCAAGGCTGACTGTAAGTTTGTAAACGTGGGTGGTGTAGACGGTTGAAGGCTTGAATATGCTTGATAGGAACTGCAGTAGCAATACTCGCCTTACATTGAGAAGAACATAATCGGTGTGTTCTTCTCGGTGTAAGGCGAGTATTGCTACTGGAGTTACTTTTGTGCATACGCTAGACTAAGCTGAACATAAATAATAAATCTTTTAAAATACAGGACGAGTATTACTGTTATGAATATCGGTATAAGGTAAATTTGGGAGATCCTACACCCCGCCGGTTATCCGGCACTGTACCTGCAACGGTTACTATGCCTCAAGAGCTGTGCCCAATAACGTAGACTTAGCATCATCACACTATCCTAAGCGTTTCAACCGACCAACAATCATCTCACTTGCACGCATGCGAAGGAAGTTTTCTTGCACTCGTTCACGTAAGTGGCATTAAAGTCACAGAACCTACCTACATAAACTACTCTGCCTTGTGGCGTGAGAGAAACTCGACAAAAATGCAACAAAAGTCGCCGAGTCTGGTGAGCTTTACACGCGCTATTTCATGATGTACCGATGAGAAGCTTCGCTGACTCTTTGTAGGGCTTTAAATTAGATTTAGATCTACGTAAGCTTCGTCCTTATACTCTCTTCGTAGCCATCCCTACCACGTCCAACTCCTCGACTTTTGTCGGTTACTGGAAGCCGTCGTCATCTACCTCACGCTCTCACATACAGCTTCATACGCCGCTTAAGCTCGCTCAAATCCAGCTTGTCGATTCATGCGAGGATTTCGGCGTTATGTGCATTCCAGCTCACGAACTTGGCCTCGCAGACTTCTTCCAGCGCCAGATTGAATCTCTAGAGATATCGTCTCAAGATGCAGAGATGACATCGAAGCTTGTCGCCAGTTTGCGGGGCTCAAAGGCCGGCAACGCTAGTGGCGATGGAGTGGAAGTGAACATTCTTAGCATCACGATCCTCGGAGATGAAAACGGGGACCTAGTTCCCGAAGGGTGCAAGTTGCTCTGGAGGTGGGTGAAACCCCACAGTCAGTATTGTAAGTCAGGCTTTTGGAACTGCAGCCTGACAAAGGTCTTGGTGGATGCCGAGTGGAATGCAGGCAAAGGCGTCTCTATATTGGTAAAGGCTGCGGAAGAGGAAGAATACGACAGGGTGTTGCAAGGAGAAAAGAAGGCTGAATCTCCCTTTCAAACATAATGCAGGTATCGCTGTTAGAGATGCTGATAGATTTGGATTGTAGAGTAGAGCTCCTCCTGCGAGCTGATTAATGTATGACGGCGTGCGAATCGCGATTCTTGACAGCCTGCTATAAAGCTTTCTTCTCTACCACAACATTTCCATGCGGTCTTTTCTGTTTGGTGTCATAGATAATGATACCTAAGATTACAGAATTGACAAGGAAGAAAATTATGCTAGATACCCAGAGTCCTGGAACAAAGGTCGAATGGCCGTTGAACTCGAGCTGAAAGCCTTGTTGTAGCCAAGCAACTTGGCCCACGATCCAGAAGACGAGCGCAGGAATGCCGATAGACGAAGATTGGAGAAGGGTCGAGTCCGGAAGATAGTATGGGAGGAACATCATGTACCAGAGGAAGTACTAGAAGAGATTAACGTCAACGCAGGGCTGGTGAAACGATACAGTACTTACCTGGCTTGTGCAGACCTTGTTGAAGGTAACGAATGCAAAGGTCTGCGCTAACATCGTATTTGGGAGGTCTTTCTTTGCTAGCACCAAAGGCGTGAACACAGCGCTGAGGAGCAGTTGTGGAAGGAACGCCAGACGTTCCAATCCGAAAGACTGTGTTGCGGGTCCCACATTGGCAGGCTTTGGCGAGGACTTTAGATAGAGAAGCGTGTTATAAGGCGAAAAGTTATGGCGGTGATCGCTACGCGTCACATGGTAGAGATAGCTGTGTTCAAGGAACGGCCACCCGTACATGCTGTACATGAGAAGGTTCAGACTCGCAAATGTAAGGAGGCTGTAGAGCGCAAGGTATATTCTCGCAGGGTTGAGAAAGTTGCGCATCCGGCCGAAAAGCGACGGCGCCGATTGCGCCTGAGCAGCTCCTTCCACCTCCATCTGAGTATCATCGAGAAACCAGACGATAGAAGCTGCGTAAATGAATGGATAAATTTTGAAATGCACTGCAAATCCGAGCAAGAACCCAGCGAGCGGTCTCTGTTTTGCCAGCACCGCCCATAACAGCGCAGTGACGAAGACCCCTAGCAGCCCTTCGGAGCTACCTCTTGTACTGATAGTCGCAACCATTGGATTGAGCAACCAGATGCTTGCAAACTTCAAGGCTCTTTCATCGCTCATCTTCTTGTACTCTTTCAAGATGCGGAACATCATCCATCCCGTAGCCACATCGCCGACCGCAAACAGGATCTTTCCAAAGGAGAACCAGAACTGTCCAGACCATACAGTAGGATATATGAGCCATGCAAGCAGAGGCGTATAACGATACGTGTCTCGTGCGTAAGGGGACTGGCCGCGCGAGATGTAGCGAGCAGCATCAGTGAAGACATAGTAATCGATGTCGGTATATTTCATAGGCGAATTAGCGTCCTGCCAGAGTCCGTATATCAGGAAAACGGCTCTTAGCACAACAGATGTTGTGAATACCAATGGTGGACTGCGGAAAAAGGAGGATAGAGCCATGCTTTCATTAGAGTAGTAGACACCCAGCACACTCAGAATACATGCGGAAACTGAGTGTATGAGATAGAAAGGGTCGCGAACGGATATGCTGAACGGTAAATCTGATGTTATTCGGGGCAATAGGGAGGGTCGGCTTCCTTAGAGAAAGGGCAGCCGAAAGTGGCTAATCCGTAAACGAAATAGCGCCCACGTGAGGACGTGCACTAGCGGACAATCCCAGCGCCTGGCTGACATTATGTATATACTCACTATCAACGCAGATCCATGGGCTTCAAACGATCAAGAGACGCAGAAATGGCGGACGAGAAGCCAGACCAAGCTTCGTCACCTTTCGTGGCGATGTTCGAAGGCTTCCGTGCAGAGCTAGACGAGCACCATGATCGACGAGAGAGAATCATCAAGGCGTCGCGTGACATCACCGCATCGAGCAAGAAGATGTATAGAACAATGATCGAAAGCTCTCTAGCAGAATACTAACAATACGGCAGTATCTTCACTCTCCAGAGGTAGGTCTTCGTAATGACCTCACCAAATAGATACTGACCTGACAAGGGTTCGCGCCGTCGGCCAAGCAGTACCACCGTGGGTTACCAAGAAAAACGCAGAATACTGGGAGACGATTGAAGACCGATACAAGAACATTGCTGCCGATCTCCAAGGTCTCAATGCCTACCGCTACTCACACAACATCACGGGCGGCAACCAAGAGTTCATGGAAGCACTCAGCTTTCAGCACTACCTGGAAACGCAATCACTCATTTCGTACGATGAAGCAAAGTCACGCATTGCTGCCATGAGTGGTGAAGCTGGACCAATCGCGTTCACGCCAGAAGACTACATTCTCGGTGTTTGCGACATGACTGGCGAGCTCATGCGCTTCTCCGTTACGAGCATGGCTACTAATGGCAAGCTACCATCTGGCCAACAAACAGAATCAAACAAAAGGCTCAAGCAAGACAACAGTCAGGATGACGCTGGCGACAAGATGGACATCGATGAGCAAGCACCAGCTGCAAGTGAGGCGCAGAAGCCACGGACTGTCTTAGACGACCTGAGGGCGATTCGACTGCAACTCGAGATGTTTGACGCACCAGGAGGATCCAAGTTTGCAGCAGAATTAGAGACAAAGAAGATGCCCGTGATGCGCGAGTGCGTAGACAAGGTAGAGAAAGGTCTATACGGTTTGACTGTGCGTGGCAACGAGCGCCCCAAGGGCTGGATGCCAGATATGAGCAGTGCCAGAGAGGTTGAGAGCTACTGAGTACCGGAGGATATCATGTTTCCAATGAAATGAAATGTAAGACTGGTTTGCCTGTTCAGATGGTGTGGCTGGGGGAGTGGCGCACCCCACTTGGCGTGAGCACCTCATCATCGTGCGGTGATGCGGGCCCGAACTTCACTTGCCCACCCTTGACAGTCATACCAACGACCATGGTCTTCTGCGCCATGCCCAAGACTGACTCACATGCACTCGCTTTCGCGCCGCCACCTACGAGCGCAAACATAATGCGCTCGCCTTGAAACACTGCGCCGACAGCTGTAAATTGACCTGGCGCCCAACCACAAACCCGCACTTGGGCCTGCTCAAGCCGGAACCTTGGTTCACAAAACCAACCTGTCTGCCCTCAACCGCGCACACCATAACCGATCGCTGCCACAACCCTCACTACCATCGCCTACAAGGCACATCAAAAACAAGCATGCGTCGCAGCACCATTCCGCCGCGGTCTGGCAAGCCCGAGGCCGCCGCCATGCGCGCACCCGAGCCACCAAAGCGCAAGGTATTCAACTGTATCGTCGATGATACCGCCTTGATCGCAGGTGTCAAGAAGAGCACCCGCGACGGCATCCGCAAGTGGATCGCCCAGGACGCCATACGCCTTTATGTACCGCTGCACAGTAGGCTATAGTATCGCAGCTTCCCAGCCTCCTCACTAACACCATGACAAGCCCTCACCCAGCTCCATCGCCTCACAAATGGCACCGAGCGCGTCAACGCCGATGCCCGCGAAGCCGTCAAATGGCTCGACGAAGTCACGTCCAACGAAGCCGCTAGCCGCGTGATCCTCGAGGGCGTGGATGAAGCGTATACTACATGGGCAGAGGTGGAGCACTTCCTGCTACCCGAGACATTGCTCTCTATGGAGGACAGCGAGTCCGACGAGGACGACTACCACGAAGACCTAGAGAGTTCTTTCAACGCCCTCGACATGTCTGATGGCACTTCCATCAGCTCCACACACAGTTTCGAGGACGCGTCCAAAACTCCCGAGTCGCCTCGTTCGCGTGCGAGCAAGGCATCTAAACCTGCCCATGGCGCCACACACGCCGACAAGCCAGCCACGCTGCTCAAGACATCACCCGGTCGCGCCGCTCACAGCAGCAGCGACATCGCCCGCAGCGACAAGTCGCCCAAGGGCGCTGTGCCCGTCTATCTCCAGCCTCTCTTCAACCACATCTTGTGGCGCATCAATAAAGAGGGAAACCCCGATGCAGCTCTGGAGTCCTTCATTCTCCTCACTAATGATTCGGCCAAGCAAACCATCGCTCAAAAGTTTGGCATCCGCGCTAAGCGCCTCGAACAGCTCCGCGATGCTGTTGCTCGTGAAGACCGCGAGTATAAAAACCATCTGACCATTTACAAGATAGAAGTCGAAGCGACCGCTGCTAAGAGCACCGCCCCCACTGCACCCAAAGCGGCAGAGCGACCCAAGTCCAGCCCCGCAGTCGAGAGCAAGCCCGATGACAATTCTGATGACGAGGACGAGGTCCTTTTCAAGCGCGCTCCACGAGGCCCCGCAGCTACTACGAACAACCAACGCGTCCTCGACCCCAACGATTTTGCACGTACAAGCCAGCATCAGTCCCCTCGTGGTGGACGTGAAGGTCATATGCCGTCGCCTCGAGGTCGTGGCGCACCATCCTTTCGAGGTCGTGGAAACTTTGCACCGCGTGGCGCATATGTCCCTCCAGGACCAGTCTTCCGAGCACCGCCAGCTCCTCGTCATGATCCGAATGCGCCTCTAGACCCGGATTCGTTCTCTCGTCCCGCCCCCAAGGTGGGCCCAGTCCGTGGCGGAGGCAGGCGAAAGCTTTGGGAACCGAACTAGCCAATTGAACGATGAGCGTCAACACCGACGTAGTAGACGAAATTTCTAAAACCATCATTGTTCGAACCGAACGCCGAACGCGATCAAGGCATGAGCGTCTTCCACAAAACAAGGCTTAAGCGGGACAGACACTGGACTATACAGTGACCATATGACCCTTCAGTCTGCATCACATCATGCCATTGTCGGTCAAGAGATGAGCAAAAGCTCTAGCAGCTGGTTCGCCGGAGCGTCATGTCCTTCATCTTTCCAAAATGGTCAGCTCAAAAGCTGTCGTTACGTCTGGCGATCGAGCCGGGTACAACTACACTCTTGGACCACACCCTCTTATTGGGTGTGTCTTCACGAGCACTATCTCCTATATTGTTTGCGTTCATTTTTGCTTTACGACCAAATTGCACAATCTCCTCGTTCGCTACATGATTACGGTACTTCTATCGTCCACCTGGAAATAGTATTTCTTTCTGTCTTGAACGAGGCTCAAATTTCATTTTGACTTCTCTCTCACATGCCCA